AAAAAAAAAAAAAAAAAAAAAAAAAAAAAAAAAAAAAAAAAAAAAAAAAAAAAAAAAAAAAAAAAAAAAAAAAAAAAAAAAAAAAAAAAAAAAAAAAAAAAAAAAAAAAAAAGCACAACAAAAAAGACACAAACATTGATGAACATTAAAAACCTGTACATTGTAAAAAAAAAAACCAAAAAAAGAAAACCAACAACAACAACAACAAAAAAACCAAACCCCAAACAAACAACAAACACCATCATTCTCTTGCTTTGAAATCAGAATCAACCTGGGAACGTTGCAGGGGGAAAAGAAAGATCCGAGGGGAAGGTGATGGCTCCGGCTGTGCCGCTGGGCCCTCGTGTGGGATGCGGGGGCTGCCGCCCGCCTGGATGGGCTGGGCCGGGCTGGGGCTCCTCTAGCGCATAGAATGCAAAGCATTTAATACATTTTATTTCTTTTTTTTTTTTCTTTTTTCCATTTGTTTTTCCCCCCAGAGCGAGAAAGCAGAAGTGAATGAAAAAAAGTCTAATATTTTGTTCTTTAACCATGTAACTGCAGATATGAGCCAACATCATGGAATGAAAAAAATAATGTAAAGTAGAGCATTCGTGTGTATCACAAAAATACAATAAAAACTTTTTTTTTCCTTTTTTTTCCTTTTTTTTTTTTTTTTTTTTTTTTAAAGTTTCCTGTGAACTCCCTGCCACGCCGGCCTCATGCCCGCTCTGCCCCTGCCCTGGCCAGCTCGGAGGGCTCTGGAGAATCAACGTCTACAACCAGCAAAGGTGTGTGTAACGGGGGGCCCTGCAACCATGGCAAGATTTTGTTTGGTTTTTTTTTTTTTTTAAACTAAGTACATACATTCTCCTGACTCCCAGGTAACTGTGATGGATCATTGTTACCTTTCTTTTTTTTTTTTTTAAACCCTTCCATACAATGGACAAACGCATCAAAGCCTGCATGTAAGAACAGAACCTCTTTTACAGCATGTAATACTGTGTTTTGTTTAAGTCCTTCCTTGCGTAAAATATTGACATAATTCACTGAAGGTATCAAAAATATACCCTGTAGACCAATACAATTTACAATTGCCTTTTCTCACCATTCAGAAAACAATGCACTTAAAGCAACCGAGCCCCTCGGTGGGCAGCACATGAGCCAGCCCGGGGACGTCCCTGCCCGCTCCGAGTTACCCGGGATCGCTTCCACCGAAGGGATCAGGATTTTTGTGTGTTTTTTTTTTTTTTTTAAGAAACAGCTCTTCACTCCCTCCCCTGCCCGCTCATCCCAGCCACATTCGAAGCGTGTCGCTGCGGGGCTGATACGTCCTGTGACACGGGAATGGCGGGCCACCAGCCCTCGGATCAGCTGGGGAACCAACCCAGGGTGCTCCGTCCCGTTTCACTTCTCAAACCATTTTTCTCTTCTCTTCTTTAACCCGCTCCAGGTTTTGCATTTCTGTGGCACATCCCCATGGCCGGGATGTGGGGGGAACATCCCACAGCCCCGTCGGGCAACTCCGCAGGAGCGTCCCGCGGCCCCTCGCTCGACTCCTCGGGAGCGACGCCACAGCCCCTCGCCCGACCCCGCGGGAAAGCGCCAGCAGAGCGTCCGAGCGCGCGTGGCCCCAGGACGGGCACGTGGCCGCTCACAGTCCCTCTCGAGCGTGGGGATCACCGCCCAGCACGGCTGCCAAGATCGAAGATGGGTTCCTTGGGTTTTTGTCTCGTTAAGGCTTTTTTTTTCTTTTCTTTTCTTTTCTTTATCAGACCAAAGAGGATGCAGAAATTGCCAGATGTTGAGAAAGAAAAAAAAAATAACCCAAACGAAATAATAATAATAATAATAAAAAAAAAAATAAAAAATCCCCCTTCCCCCAAATTGGCTGGTTGGGGAGGAAGGGAAAAAATAAAGGAAAAGGGAAAAACGAAATCGCTCTGCTCCTACATCTTCGCTCGTGAGAGCCGGCGGGGCCGGGGCAGTGGGTGCTCGCCCGGGGCGTCCCGCTCGCTCCCCACACCCTGGGTTTGGTCGCCGTCTCCCTGCCCCTGGCTCCTCTCATTCACTGTCCGAAAGGGTTTCGTACTGGGAGCAGAGCAGGGGCTTGGGCTCCTCGTCCCAGGCGTGGTGCTGGCTGCTGGGGGTCCCCTGCGGCAGCGGGGCAGCGGGGGCTGCGGTCACCACCCCGCTGGGGAGCCGCATGGTGAGCGGGTTGTAGGGGAACGGTGTCGAACCTGCACGAGAGGAGGGAAGCAGAGAGTCAGCGGTGGGGGGTGGCTGTTCCCCCATCCCCCTGCGAGGGTGGCACGGCCACTTTTGGGACCCGTCCCCCGAGCCCTACCTGCGGACGACGGCCTGTCCTCCCAGACGCGGTTGGTGAGGGGCGTCCTGCGGTTGCAGTCGCCCTCTGAATGCACCGAGGACACCGAGGGCGGCCGCTCGCCCGAGGACAGACCTGGCGCCGGGGACTTGGCCTTGCGGCTGTTGGGCCTGGCAGCGATCTTTGGCTTCCCCCCTCCTCCTGCGAAGAGAGGCACCTGCTCGTCACCCGGCTCGTTGTGACAGGATTTGGGGAGTCGGGGGGAGGGGGGTGCAGGTTCCCAGCACTTCCCTTTTAGGAGCTTGCAAAAATGGCTTGTGGCGGGAGAAAAGCTCACCCCAGGATGATGGTACCATGGGGGAAGGGCAATGGGGCAGGCAGGCACAGCAGACAGAGGAGGTTTCTGTCCTCTCCTGGGCTGCTCTGCCCTGTGGGTTGATGCCACCAACTGTCCCATGGAGGGACCTGGGGCAGGAGCAGCCACGTGGCTTTGGCTGAACTGTTTCTCTGCAGGGTCCCCTCCTGAGCCATCTGATGGCTCAGCCCACAAAAATGTGTCATGGGATGGAGCTCCATGTGCTGCTCCATATCCACAGGCGGTTGGCAGGGACCCCCCAAGAGCTACATGGATGCTGGAACCCTGGACACATTCTTCATTCCCATGGTCTACATGGCTAGGATGGTCTTCCATCCGTCCTTACAGCAGAATCCCTGGGGCTGTTTAGCCAGCTTTTAAAAGGTTTAAGGGCAAATGGGCCTCTGCCACGGATGTGAGCCTGGATAAACCAGGGGGAGCTCTCCAAGGGGGAGGGATAGATGGGCTCTGCATCCCACCCTGCCTGCCCAGGCAGCCTCTGCTGGGCTTGGGGAAACATGGCTGGAAGAAGCTGCTGGTTTCATGCAGGAGCCAGAAAAGCTTTTCTGCAATAAGCTTTAGAGCGCCTGGTGTGAGCTGACCTGGAGGAAGGTGCCCATGTGTGCCCAGGACGCTGCCCCTGAGCTGGGGACTCTGTGCCTGGACTGCCAAGGGTAATCCCTGGCAGTGGTGCCATGCTCTGTGCAGGGGCCTTGCATGAGGCACTCTACCCTTAAGAGGCGTGCAGGGGACAAATGCTACCTGAATCCATCCCTGATCTCCCTCCTCCTTCCCTTCCTTAATTGGGGATCTGCTCAACAACCCTCCCAGCTCTGCTCAAGTCCCCCTGAAGCTGAGCAGACCCCACCATGGGGCCCAGTGGGCTTTGCAAGACCCTCGCCAGGGCCCACAGGACAGCTCATTCCTAACCCTGCTCTTTATCATCTCCCATCTATCACTTTTAGCTCCCTTTAAATCTCCCTCTTGCTCCAGGTGCTCCCAGATCCCATCAAACCCAGGCTGGGTTCTGCCCTGACACCCCAAAGCTCAGGGTGGGGAGAGAAATGCCACCCTGCCCTGTGTGCCCCACTCTGGTCCTTCTCGGCTCCTTCCCCTATTTTGGGAGCAGCGGTCCCACCCAGGGTTTACAGATAGTTGGGGGGTGGCTATTAAGGTTTATAGCTTTGATTTTTGAGTGGGGGGTTTTGCCCCCATAAACCTTTCCATTGTGTAAAAAAAAAATAGGAAAAGGAGATATTAAAAACCAACAAACGGGGAAAGGAGCAAGTCAGTGGTTTAGAGAAAGCAACAGCACCTTTGGAGACTATTAAATTAACATCAAACAAGACCAGGATTAATCAGCGGATTCACAAAGCTCAAAGCTGAGGGAGGGTGGGGAGAAGAGGAAACCAAAATGAACAAAAACGGGGAGGGGGAGGAATAAATCCCCCCATTAAAGGGGAAATATAAAGGCTGAGAATTAATTAACACAGAGAGAGCGAAGGTGGAGAGGGCTGCAGACCTGGCAAGGAGCGCACGTCCTCGTTTCGTCCATCAGCAGGAGTTATGGGCATAGCAGCGGGCAGGCTTGCACTGGCATTCAGAGAGTTAAAAGCATTGGCACTGAGAGGTGAGCGCTCTTCCCACTGCTCGTCATATTTACCCATTAGGGCTTTCCTAATTATTGCCTCCAACCCCATGTTGGTACTGGAATTCTCTTGGACCGACTGGCTCCTACAACTGATTAGCCCTGGGAGATACGGGAAAGGGAGGAGAGAGGGGACGGGAGATGGGGGGGAGCCAAATGAGAAGAAAGATGGGGGGGACGGGGAAAGGGGGAGAAAGGAGACAAGGGAGAAGGGAAGAAACAAACAGTCAGCACATTCTCGCAAAGCAACAAACTTTGTCATCTTGTTCTTTAAAGCGCTGCGATGCACCCGTCCTCCTCCTCCTCCTCCTCCTCCCGCTCCATCCCGCCCCAGGGCTCAGCAGGGGCTGGCAGTGGGATGGATGGGACTCACTCTGGGATATGGGTTTTGGGAGGGTTCCCTGGGGCCAGGGTCTGGAAGAATGGGGGATTAAGGGTTTGTTGCCAATCCCCAGGGAGCAACTGCAAGAAGCAGGGGCTGCACTCCCAACGTGGGAGGCATGGGGGCAGGAAGAGTGTCACTTGGATGTGGGATCCATATGCACACACAGCGAAAGTCGGTGTGCCAAGAATATGGAGGCCAGGGCAGTTTCCCATAAAGGAAGTCAAGGGGATGGAGAGTGAGTACCCCACCAAATCACTTAATCAGAAAGAAGGGCCTGGATTTTGGCCCGGCGTCAGAGGAGGCAAACGCAAGCAGCTCCTGGAGGAGAGCACACAGCCCCACGGAGCTGCCTGGGTGGGGTTGGGTGATGCGGGGAGAGGGGAGCGCCCTTTTGTCCCTCCTTGCGCTCTTGGCAAGCCCCCTGCCCGCTGCCCCAGCCCTCCCTTTCCCCCGCCAGGGCCGGGTGCCCACGTGGGCCAGAGGCCCCCGGGCTGAGCCGCGGCTGTGGGACAGGATGCAGAGGCGCAGTGGTGTGTCCGCGTGGGTGTGAGTCTCAAGCCATGCAGTTATGGAGCAGCACCGCACAGGGACCGAGGCTCAGCCACGCCACCATCATTCCCGGGGTGGCGGTTACAGGGAACAAGCAAGGGCAAAATACAGACACGAAACTGCCAGGCCCCCCCAGCTCGCCCCATCCTGAGGTGTTCCTTTTGGGATGGCTGCCCTTCTGCTCAGGAGGAGACAGATCCCAGGTTCCTGTAAACCTGGTTTGGACACTTGTCTCCCCATATGTGGGCAGGGTCTCTCCTGGTCCCCTCTGGCCAGAACTGACCTCCAAATTTTGGCTGCTGGGGACCTTCAGGTCCCACCTGGCTGTACCTGCTCATCCCAGCAGATTATGTCAGCTGGCTCCTTCCCCCAGATATATTCCCACTGGTGAGCAGTCTTATACCACTGGCCCTCCTGCTTCACCAAGCCCCTGCCCACAGCACTTCCTGACCTTGGCTGTGGGAAAGCTGCTGTTCTCCTACTTAAAGCTAAGAACCTGAAGGCATTCCTGCTGTAGGAGAGCATTAATCCTTAATGAATTGAGTAACAATTTGTATTCCTCAGTGAGGATTCACGCAATTCACTTGAGAGCCCACCGGGACACGTTGCAGGCAGTAACAGCACAACAGCGTTCCCACTGTCATTCCCCCTCAGGCTGGTCATGTTCCTGAGACCCCTCCATGTCCAAGGTAATAACCTTTTGGTCCTCAGCTATTGCCAGTTTGCCCAGCACAGGGTGCTGCTCTCATCCCAGTTTGCTTTTGCAACTCTTTCCTGCTCGTGCCCATCCTGCAGAGCACAGACCCTGCTCCTCACCCTCATGTTCCCGTTCACTGCTGCCCTTCTACCCACCCATGGCTGACCAGAAGGTCCCACCAAGAGCAAGGTGTTCTCTCCTGCTGTGAGGTCCACCTTGCTATGGATCAACCCTCTGCTGGCATCAGATGGCTTGCCTTTTAACCTCTCCTCAAATTCTGCCAGGTTTTCTGAGGAGTTACACTGCCCTGTCTTCAACCCAACAGTAGAGTTATGGTGCGTCCCGAGGTTTCTGCCTCCCAGCAACTGTTACGCTTTGTTTTATGGCAAAAGGAGAAAAAGAGATGCTTAAATCTACCAAATCTCCTGCCCTCCATGGCTGGAAGCCCTGTGGGGAATGAGGTACAGGTATGTGGGGGATTTACCTGCTCCTGTAATCGCTGGCATGTTGAAAATCTCTGTCCCAGGCTGCCCAACATCTGGAGAAAAACAAAGAAGCTCTTCAGCACAGTGAGTAGCACGTGTAGGCTGGTGGCAGGGAGGACCTGCTGCGCCACCCAGCCCGACAGCAGCCCACCTCCCTGAAGCACTGGGGTAGCTCTATGGGTGCTGGCTGGGACCAGGAATAACTCCCAGTACCTTTGGGAGATCCACAGCGAGCACCTTCCCCAGGTGGGAAGAGCAGAAAAGCAGAGCCCAGAAAGCCAGGGCAATGTCTTTGTGCTCAGTGCTGGCCTCCCTCCTGCCCTTGGGATTACAGGCTTTGTGAAGCCAAACTCTCTCTCCTGTCTATGGGATTTCCAAAGGCTGAACGCCCCCTATCCCGGGAGCAGGTCTGGGCGGTAGGGAGGGCAAGGAGGAGGAGGAGAAGAAATGTTAAATCAATATTTTCCCTCTTAGCTGAGCTGTTTGACTTGGATATCGTTTTCCTTAGAATAACGGAAATTCTCATCAAATAAGAGGTGTATCCTATTTCTATATATTTTCCCTTGATAAGGAAAAGTGTGGAAGGTCACAGGGTTCAGCCACATGTCCCCAAAGGGGCATAACAATACTGTTGGCTCATGGTAACATCATCCAGGAGACGAGACAGCTCGGTCCCTCTTATCCGATGCAGCTGTTGTAAGATGGATTCAAATTGAATTAGTATTGACTGTATAATGCTGGGCTAAATTAAATTATGATCCTATCTACTCTATTAGCGGTTAATGAATGAACGGGCTGAATTTCTAATCTAAGCCAGCCTGGTTAGTTTTACAGAGCTGCACCAATATTGATGCAGGGCTTAAAGTAATGTTGGGGGGAGATGCATCCCAAGGAGGAAGGATTCAGCTTGGCTGGCCATTCATTAAAATATCAATTGCTCTTAAGTCTCCTGCATGCTCAGCTCATTATTTCCTTCCTACTGAGTTTATCTGGTATGGGTGGGATTGACAGCCCCAGAGCATGAAAACACAGGGTGGGAAGACCCCACTGCCTCCCTGGAGTCCAACTCTTAAGTGTAGATGGAGCAGGCTGGCAGCTCCCAGCCCTTAACACAGCAGCACTCATTCCCAGATTTTCTTTGCTTCCTGTGTCCTTGAGGTTTTTCCCCGCCAGTGCCCTCCATTTGTCTCCCCACTGGTCCTTACTGTACTCCGTCTCGTTTTTGTTGGTCGTGCTGAGCTTCTTGATGATCTCCTGTTTCTTGGACTTCACCATGGCAGAGTTGCTCTCAGTCAGCTTGCTGAAGAAAGCTGGAGGCTGAGTGTTGTTTCCCGGGGACTTGGACCCCATCCTGCAAAGCAAAAGACCATTGGAAATCTCCGCAATGTCCAGTGCACAAAGTCCTACCTAGAGAGCCTCTGCCCTCGGTGCAACTGCTCAGAGTCAGCCTGGGCACTCCTGTGATGCTCAGCATCTCCAACCTCTCTCTCTATCCCAACTGTGTTGAAAAGCCCCTATGAGCAGCCAGCACCCTGGGATGGGACACTGCTTCTGCCAGCAAGGAAAGGAGCCTGAGCCAGGGCACACGTGGGGACATCCCCATCCTCAGCTGCCTCCAGCGCCTGCTCCTGGGCGGTACCTCTGGTCCATGGGCTCTCCCTCGCGGAACAGGACGGGGTAAGGGGCGCTCTTGGCGTGTTCTGCTTCTCCCACGCCGTCTGGTGGAGACACCGGCTCGATACAGCTGTCGGCCCCGCCGGCCGCGGCTTTGCCCTGCTCTGGGGACCTGCGGAACAACGGGAACATGGGATCGGTTCTGTCCCTGTGCAGCAGCCTGGGCTTGGCAGAAGGAAAACAGCCAGAACTGTTTTCCTACAGCAGGGAAAACCAGTCAAACTTTTCACATCCTGTAGACTCCTGGTGCCTCCTAACACGAGCCGGAGGGAGAGCCCAGCCTGGGCGTGCAGAGCAGGGCTGAGCCAAACCACGGTCCTGATCCCTCAGCAGCTGAACAGCCAAGCCACCCCAAACACAACTGCCCAGCAGGGATGAGGGACCTGTCCTGGGACCTGCCAGCTCAGGAGTGTCCCTGGCTGGCAGGCGGCTGTGGCATTAACCCTTTGGGAACACGGATTTTGATTCTCCATCATATCTGTCAATGCAGTGGAGACAGCACCCACCACCGCTCATCCACCTTGTCAGGGCCACACAGGGGCTGGCTGGCTGCGGGACAGGGTCTGGAGCTGAGGCAGCTCAGAAAGCATCAACACTGGCCCCCGATGCCTGCCCATGGCCAGAGCCTGGGAGACAGCCAGGCTAGAGTCTGCGAGGAATTTCTCACAGCGAGTTCTGGGAATTTACATCTTTGTTCTTTCTGTGGTTTCTCTTTTTTTTCCTGTTCTTTTTCATCACTGGGTGGTCAGGGCTGGGCTCTCTCCTTTCATGTTATAAAGCCAACTCTAGGACCAGGCAGAGCTGGGAATAATAATCCCATTTACTGAAAAGGAACCACCAGTTTGGAGGCACCACTCATTCCTGGATGCATTTGGGTCTCTGTGGCTGCTTGGGTGGGAGGACAGACCCATTTTTTTATTTCCAGACAGCAGCAATCAGACCTGCCTTGTAGCAGCACAGGGATTTTAAAGTGACTTTCAAACAAGTAAACAGGTGGTGCCTGAAATGGGCAGTTACAGTTGTTGTGGCATTTGTGTCTAACAAACTTCTGATTCACTGAGAAAGATAAAGATACCATTAACTTTGAATCAATGGAAAACATGCTGCTTTGGGTTTTTTAAAGCCATCTGGTCAGGGATTGAGAACAGTGACAGGACAAGAGACGACAGGCACAAACAAAACACAAGAAATTCCATCCCAACACAAGGAAACATTTTTTTCCTGTGAGGGTGCTCCAATGCTGGGACAGGTTGGCCAGAGAGGTGTTGGGGTCTCCATCAGTGGAGATATTCAGAATCTAACTGGCCATGACCCAAGATAACCTGCTCAGGAGTTCCTTCCCACCTAAACTACCCTTTGACACCAGCTAGATTGTGAAGGGGATCATGCACAGGCTTTAGGGGGTCTAAAGAACACCTCGAGGACAACAGTTACGGCAAGAGGAATCACCACAGAGCAAAAAGGCCCAGCTCAGAAAGCAGTTTTACACTCTGGGCAGTGTAAGCAGGGAATTCACACAGCACCAAGCCGGGGAGCACAAATTCAACAGCACGAAATGCCAGCCTGCCCAGTGCACCCCCTTACCAGGCCACGTGCCCAGCTCCTCACCCTGTGCAGCCCGGGTGCAACCTGAACCGAGATTGGCACGAGTCCCCCCGTGCCAGCTTGGGTGGGACTCTCTGAGCTCACCTTTTGCCACCTTCGTTCTGCGGGGAGATCCGAGAGGCCGCCGTGTGCTCGGGCTGTGGCAGGTAGGCCTCGCTGGGGGTGCGGCGCAGGTCCAGCACCGGGCACGCCGCCCCGGGGAAGGAGTACACCGGCGCCTGGATGTGCGAGTTGAGCTGCTGCGGGTGGTGGCGCGTGTAGTCCTGCGTGATGACCTCCTAAAGAAGAAACCCCCCCCCAAGTCAGAAATAGAGCTGCTTCCTACCTTTGCCTTGCTGGGCCCTGCTATAAGAGGGCAAGCAGTAAATAGGCTGGTTTGTCCCTGCAGATGCAACATCTGCCTCCTGTCATGATGGGCTCCTTAGGGACACAAACACCCAGGCTGAACACCCCTGAAGCCCCCTGCTCTCCAGCCCCCAGAGGAGTTGAGGTGTCCAGCATCACTCCCAGTCCATCCCCACCAGACATGTTTCATTTGGCTCATCCCTCCTCCCCTGAGCCCCAGCAGGAAGATGAAGAAGGTGAACAAGGTTAGTTACACTGATGTGCTGGGCCAGCGTGACCACCCGCTGGTTCATGCCCTTGGTGCTCTGCAGGGGCTGGCACTGGGGGCCATCGGGCTGCCGAAGGTGCTGCAGGTGGGCGGCTTCGGGAGCCGAGGCCTTCAGCGAGCCTGGGGGGCACAAAGACGACAACAGGCATGAGATGACGTCTGTGACCCCTTCCTTGAATGCCATCCCAGCTCTGGAACACAGCAAGCAGGATCTGGAGGAAAAAGACCCCCATGCCAGCTCAGGCTCTCCTGTGCCAGATGGCATTGCTGTTTCCTTGTCCTCACCTTGCTGTTTCTGTCTCAGGTCATGCTCGCCGTGCCCCTTCTCTGCATCCTGCAGCAGCTTGGCCCCTTTCTCATGGGACAGGCTGGGTGAGCTCACGGGACTCACTGCTTCCATCCGCTCAGGGCTGTAGCCTCCGTGAAAGCCTGGGGAAAGGGGACAACAGAGTTAAAACCAGAAGCTCGCTTGGCTTTTCCCTGGTGCTGTGGCACTACTGCTTGTGGGTAGAGTCACATGTTCAGCAAAGGGGAAAAAAAGAGATTAGGGTAGACCTGGCAGGTCATGCTGCAGGGATCCCTGGAGCCACCTCTGATGTCCAGCTGTGGTGATGGCTGCAGTGAAGAGGTGGTATCTCGTTCAAGCACAGCTGGACACTCAGCAGCATATGGTGACACATGAGTGTCAGGGACCAAATTCAACCCCTGTGGGTTCCCAACTTGTTCCCTCCCAGTCCGCAACCCATGAAACCCTCTCTGTGCTCAGAGGGACCGAGATGCTCAGCAGGACTGGAGGTCTCCAAGTGCTTTACAAAGAAAAGCCCCAAGCCCAGCATGGCCAAGACCAGGGACTTGAAAACTGGATGTGAGGCCCTGGAGACTCCAGATCTTGCTCCAGAGACAGTGGACTCGCACTCTGCAGGGGCAAAATTTGACCATTCTCTGCCTTTTAAGGCCTTTCATAGACTCATAGAATCATTTATGAAGCTTGGAAAGGACCTCTAAGCTCACTGAGTCCAGCCATTACCCTAACACTGACAAGTCTACCAAGTCCACCTCTGCAGAGGCTCAAGCTGCATCAAAACAGGCAGAGCTGGAATGATGAACCACCTTCACCTTTCAACAGGGAGTGGAAACTGAGGCAGAGTGGGTTATGCTTCTGCAGAGCAGAGGTGGAGGGTGGAGGGGCCCTGGAGGCAAACGCTGCCTCTCACCAGCCAAGCATGTTTGGTAACACGACTTTTGCCTCCACAGACCTTTACCCTCCTAATGTTCCACTCCTAGAGACTGCCCACAGCAGGCACATGTGGCAGAGGACCCACAGCACTGCTGGAGGGTCCCTGGTGCCCAGGCACAGACACACGGACCCTGCCTGTACCTGAGGAAAGGGAGGGGGGAGGACTCCATGGAGAACCTCCCTGCACCAGGAACAGGGATGCAGTATCCCCCATCACCCCATATCTGCCAACACCTACAAAACCACAGTTTGGATCCACCCAAGATGAAGTATCCCGCTCCAGAAAGATCCCTAGCCAACAGTAAGGTCCTGAGGAACACCAGCTCCTTTCTGTAAGGTCACGGCCCCAGAAGAGGTGTCCTCTCCACAGCACAACATGCAGCTGGAGGAAACACTGGTGCCAGGGTAAAAAGGTGGAGGAGAGCTCAGACAGAGGCACATCCTTGGTCCTGGAATGTACTGCTAGAAGAAGCAGGGACCAGATGTGACCAAGCAGTGGGATGGGTGGGTCAGGATGTGCCAGTGAGAGCAGCTCTTCTGCCTGGCTACAGTACAGTGTCCACTCCACCCCTGGGTTACAGGAAGGGGAGTAGGGCAGCAACTCTCAGTGCTGATGGTCAAAGCAGATGCTGCAACTTGAAAAAGAGGTCCCACCAAATCCCCACAGGCTGTCTGCTGCTTTTGCATGCTGATGGGAGCCTGGATGCGCACTCTGGGTGAAGGCTGGTCCCATCAAGAGTGACCCAGAACTTAAATCCAGCCCCCTTCCTGAACTTTCTTTTGGAATAGCTTTTGTGTCCTACACAAGATTCCTATTAGGTGGTTCTTGTGGCCTGCTCTGGAAATGGCTGCTGAGCACGGCTGGGCTGAGTGATCCCAGGACAACCACATCCATGGTGCCCACCCTGGGCAGCATCCTGCACCAGGACCCTTAGTGAGGTCAACTCCAGCAAGGGGACCCCATCAACACTGAGACCCACAAAGCCCTCTGACATTCTGCAGCTCCTGAGCAGGGAGATGTGTGTTTGAGGGCCAGCAGCCCTGTCACACTCACAATCCCGGTCCTCTGCTTCACTCGTGTGATTTATTACCCACAACTGTCCCTTACACACTGCCTGAGAATTTCTAAGGATGGGGAAATCAAAATTAGCAAATGGCCATTGTCTGTAAAGTGCAATACCAGGAACTGCACGACGTTTGCAAAACAGCACTTGGCAATGGGGAAAACTGAAAGACGGCAGGAAAAGGGAAGATCCTGAAAACACGCAAAAATAAAAAAGCCTGGAATAACACAACAACTGGGAAGCAGAGGGGCAAGCACACTCGGGGAGCTGATGAAGCCAAAACCCAAAATGTACAACTAAAAATAAGAAATAATGAAATGAAATGGGTGTCAGGCCACAGCTCTCTCACCTCTCCCCTCCAATTCCTTACCATCGCTAGTGGAGTCATTACTCAGCGAGCCTCTTTCTCGCTGCCCCTCATCACAGGACATTTGGCACATGACAATCACATCTGTGAAGCTGGCTGCTGCCATGGTGGCCTTACCGAGTGCTCGGAGCTCCTGCTCCTGCATGGAAAAGCGTTTGCTTTGACTCTTTTCTCTACTGTGCTGCTCGGAGCCTGAAGCTGCGTGCTGCTGGTCCAGAGGGTGATGGTGCTGCTGGCTTTTCCCCTGTCCTCTGCCGTAGTGATGAGAAGAACCAGATCCGGAGGCGGGCAAAGGCCTCGACTCCATGGCTTTAATGGGCGAAGGCGACTGTTCGAGGTTGGCCCCACTGGGCAGCTTTGAGGTGTAGACGTTGTTGTCAGTCTGGGCTCGTTCTGTCTTGGCTTCCCGCACCCTCGAGGCCTCTTTCTGCAGGATGGCCGGGTCCAGAGGGGCTGCGTAGCCGTCGGCCGCGCTGAGGGAGGAGCGCAGGGTGGAGGCTGAGGGGAAGGCGGCGGAGCGGATCGGTGATGTGGTAGTGGTAGAGGAGGTTCTGGAAGGAAAACCGAGACAAGGCCAAGATGAGAGAAGCACATGAGAAAAGGAATGCTGTTACCAGAGCCTCAGTGTCCAGCCTTGCCTGGCCAAGCTTCTTCCAGGGCTCCTGAGTGTAGGGTTGGCCTGTGCTGGGGCCAGCAAGGAGGGCTTGGATGGAGCCTGCACTATAGTAACTGGCCACAGGGTTATTGGGCCTGGATGACTGGAGAGCATAAAATCCATGGACAGGTTCCAGAGACCTTCATAACTCCACCACCAGGCAACTTTCAGCAAGAGGAGCAATACTGGTATTTGGACACAGGCATGCTCCTCGTTTCTTTCCTGGTAGTAGGAAAAGTCACTAAAGAAAGCAAAGGAATTGGGCACACCAAAACCTGCCTCTCCCCATCACAACTTCCCTGGAAGCCCCACTCCTGTTCCTACTGAGACTGAAGGCCAAAACAGCCCTCTCTCCATCCCAGAGGTGCTCATTATAATCAAGTGCCACGGCAGCACAGTGACAGGAGCCGTGGCAGGGGACGTACCGCAGGACGGAAGGGGTGGGGGTCTCCGAGGAGATGATCTTCATGCTCGTGTTGTGGAGCACGCTGGGGCGCTGCTGGATGGTCTCGTGGGTGCGGGGTGAGACGGGAGAGTGCTGGTGGCTGTGGGAGTGGGAAGACGAACGGCTGCTGGACTGCTCTGTACCTGAGGAACAACACAAGGAATGGCTTCTTTAGCCCTTCGTCCTCTAGTCCCAACCCTACTTCCACCCAGCAAGGGCCCCAGGGTGTTGTGCTGGACTCTTGCCCGGCTTACCTGGTCTCCAGATGGGTGCATGCTCCACTGTGGTGGATGCTAGGATGGATTTTTCACGCTCCCTCTCCCTCTCTCGTTCTCGTTCCCGCTCCCGTTCCCGTTCGGACACCGACGATCCCGACTGTTTGGTCATGTGCGTGGGGCCTCCTGAAACCCAACCAAAAGGCAGTGAGACGTCTGCAGACACAGCAATTCCCCCTGAGAATGCTGCCTGCTCTTCACATCGCTGCATCTGCAGAGCAGATAAGGAACAGCTCTATCCAAGGTCACCTGGAGCAGGACAGATGAGTGACAAAGCCCAGACAAATCATGAATAGCTGTCCTGGTGCCATCTCTGGGGTATGACCTTCCACAGAGCTGTTTGCCAGCTGTCACTCTGGAGAAGAATGGGGAAAAGCAGGGAAGCCCCCAGCAAGCAGAGAGGGAGGGAGTTACTGGACTGGTCACTGAGTGAGAATTAATTTGGGGTCTCCCCATCTCTGCCCTGGCATACCGAGCCCATGGCCCTGGATTGATTAGGAGCGTCCTGCTCAACCATTTTCCCATGGAAAAAGCATCCTGCAGTGTTACCTGGGGAGAGCGGGGAGCTGCTGTGCCGACTGCCAAAGGTCTGGGGGGGCCCAGGGATGTAGGTGATGCGGTCCATGGTCGTGGCAGAGGTGCCAGGGGTAGGGGGCACGAGGACAGGCAGGTGTGGCACTTGGGACAGGTCGATGATGCCTGGAAAGAGAAGCGAGAGGACCGTCAGGACAGTGCCGAGCTGCGGCAGCTTGGCCGCGCTGGAGCTGTCAGCGCCGGCCTGACCGAGCCTCCTTCTCCCTGTCTGCCCCCAGGCCCCTGGACAGTGCCGTGCTGGGAGCACCTGCTGCATAGTTGAGGGCGAGGGAGGGCTCCCGGGGCGACAGGCCGCGCAGCATGTCCGCCCGCTGCGCCATGGCCGTGGCCGCGGCGTTGTGGTGCATCTGCTGCGACGTGATGTAGTCGTTGATGATGGTCTGTCGGTTCTCCATGGCCGCCGTGTCCGGGTAGCCCCGGATGAGGTACGGGGGGTACAGGTGAGGGTACGTGGGGCTCGGAGCCAGATGCCTCGGCAAGTAGTAAGCAGCAGCTGGGAGGGAAAAGGATGCAGATGTGATGTGGCTTTCAGAGCATAGCAAGAAAAAAAACCCAATCCCAAACAGACTGTGCCCAAAACAAAGGTACCTGCTTCCAGTTGGATTCCCCTGGGGATGGCGGCGGGGTCGAAAGGCAGCGGGATGTGTCCTCGGTACAGGTCAACCCCGCTCACACCGCGGAGCAGGTGCTCGTACGGGGAGATGGGGTGGTGGTGGTCAGGCACAGGGGCGTGCGGAGACTTGGAGTTGGTGAGCTCTCTCGATGTGGGGGTGATCTTTCTGTCCTGGGACACCGGTTTCCCAGCACTGATGCTCCCTGCAGTGAGCAGAAGGAAGTGAGTCAGAGACTGAGTGCTGTGGCCAAGTCATGTCCCTGATGGATGCCTGCGGCCGAGCGTGTCCTCCAGGGACACTCATAGCTACCCTGAACTCAAGGGACCTTTCCCCTCCCTGCACTGCCATGCCCTGTTACGCCACCAAGGTCGAGGCAGGCCAAATCCCAACTGCCCCTGGGAGAGAGGCCTTTCCCAAACCATCCCTCTACCCCAGCACATCCACGCTGGGCGGTCTGTGAATTCATCCTGGCCCGCACAAGCAGCCAGTGGTAGAGCCCTCCTTGCACTCCTCGGCACAAGTTGGTCATCGGTGCTGGACAGAGACAGGGACCCTGAAACTCCTGGCAAGGGTAATGAAACATAGTTCAGAGTGTTTTGAGTACCTGCCATTCCCTGGAGCCAAAAACTCTTTCCCAACACACAGAGAGGAGGCTGGATCACATTAGGGACTTCTCTTGGCTCTCTCAACCTGACCTGGGCACTGGGGGCACTTCATATCCAACCTGAGACAAGTGTCACCAGCTCCTGTGTCCAAGCCAGCAGGATGGGGACAGTGGCTGGCAGTCACCCCAAGCAGTGTGACCAACCCCCTTGTACCAGACTGCACACCAAATGCTGCCTGGGTATTCCTGCTGGCTGGTTGGGGAGGCACGTCCCAGACTCAGTTTTTGGCAGACTGTGACGTCTTGTGCTCCACATTCCCACATCACAAGACTCTTGGATTAGGACATGGATTTGCAGGTGGGAGATGCAAAAGGCTCTGAAGCAGTTACCCATAGCCAGCAGGCTTGTTTGGGCAAGGTGTCTTAGGGACTGGCTTCTGCACTGATCCTGCCCACAAATGTGCCATGAAGTAAGAGAGTTGTTTGTGCCCTGGATCTGAGTGAGCCCAGCCCAGACATGTGCCTGCTCCTGGGGAGCCCAGGTCTGGCTTTGAGAGTAGGAGATGACCAATGCCAGGGCACACAGATGGGCAGGGGAGATGTCAGAGCCCAAAGACCACCCCACTGCCTCAACCCACCAACTCAGAAGGGATTAGATGTTCCTGGAGGTGAGGCACTCAGGTGCCCAGGAGATGGATGAGGTGGGCAAATACACATCAGGTTGGTGAGAAGTGTGAAGATCCCCCACCCAGTGCCCCAAGCACTGCTTTCCTGCGCACCTGTGGGAAACAGAGTGCCGTGGGCCAATTCTGGGACAGGGAAGATGCTTTTTGAAATACCAAAGGCTTCACCAGCCACAGCTCAAGCCTCCCTTTGGTTACCCTGGCACAGGTGAGGTGCCCTCACTTCAACCATGTAAGCACCCCCAGCTGTCCCTGGCAGCCACCCCAGTGCTGTGAGTCAGCTGTAGGTGTGGGGTGCTGGGAGGAACGGGTTCAACAGGGACCTGCTGGGAACAGCTCGGGCAGGTGGGGTCAGCAGCCACCTCCCCTGCTCGGCTGCTACAAACTGCAGCATCAAAGAGAAGGTTTGCCAAGTACCTTCGTGCTGCCGTGGCGTGGACTCCCGTGTGGAGACCGGAGACCCTCTGTGCAAGTGGCTGCTGAACGCGGTGCTGTGCCCTGCCTGGTGGTCCTCATAGCCGAGGGCACTCTGGTGGGCCTTGCTCGGCTCCGGTACAATCACAGGAGCCCCTCTGGCAATGGAGCCACCCGAGTTTGTCACTGGGCTTGGCCTGTTTTTCAGGCTCTCTTCATAAGCTCTCTCCAGATTCCTCGGGTCTTGGATGACGTCCAGCGAGTGCACAGAGTGAAAAGTCCTGCCGGGACTGCCGATGATGGACCGCACGTCATGCTTTTTGGTACTTGAGGAGGAAGAGCTGCTGTCATACTTCAGTGGGGTACCCTGGGGACAGGAGGCAGAGGGGACATCAAAACAGTGTAGAGCAGAAGGGGATGCAGTGAGCTTATCCCACCGAGTTTCAAGGGGACTCACGAGTCCTCATTCAGTGGGTCAGTGCACCAAGCCTCCTTGGGCAAACAGCAACAGCCATTGGCAGAGCAGAGAAAACCACTTGGCACAGCACGGGGCAGGGTGGAGTGCCCATCTTGCATGTCTTGTTGTGCTCCAACAAGATGAGGATGAGTCACTGCCAAAGGCTGGCTGTGCCCATCACGCCTCTCTCCTACACACACAGTGAAATGGGGTAGGACTACAAGGTGCCATGGGAACCCTGCAAATATTTGGGGCCCAACAGGAGATAGCATACCATGTTTCCTCCTAACTACTGGCCCTGCTGGGTTGCCACTTGCCCATAAAGGGAGGAGACCAAATTTATTTGCACCCCAAGTCACAACTGCTGAGGACACTGAGTTGACTTTGGCCTTGACAGAGAGGTGAATGTGTCCCTTTCCATTTACACATGTAGATGGAGCACTGTTTTCTTAATGTGCAAGGGGATTTCCCTGGGTTTTGTGTTTAAACTCCAGGAAGGATCATAGGATGGCTTGGATTGGAAGGGATCCTGTGAAAGGATGGGGCAGGACAACCGGTACCCAAGCAGAGCCTTGAGTCTGACCAGTGATGCAACCCAAAGCTGTCTCTGCTCTCCTTTTACCTTGGGAATGGTCCCCAGGATCTGTGCAAAAACAGCAGCCTAAGCAGGACTGATCACATCTGCTGTTCATCCCACACTCACCTGCGTGATGGAACCTTCCTTCAGAGGCCTCGTCAGAGAGATGTCCGGCGTCCGCCTCAGCTCCTCACGGGGAATCTCATGGATTGATCTTCCTGCTTCTTTCACTGTGGCCACCAAGTCTTCATGGGCTGATTTCATTTTCAGAGGAGTAAGGCCCTCGTGAGATCTGACCTTGTAGGCATCAGATAAGTCCCTCGGTGGAGTGTTTTCCCTCTTGAGCTGTTTGGCTTCTCTTCTGAGGTAGTCCTCATGGGCCTCCACGTAGGACCGAGGTATTCCTGCAACCCCCGAGCACATAGATGGATGCAGAGGGACATTCCCCAGCCAGACACTGGACTCCCACTCCCCATGCAGATGCTCACTTCAAGGGAGTCTCTAGTTAACACATGTAACTCAGGGACTGATACCCAACTGAGCAGCTATATCACTAATGCAGCTGGACCACCTCACATCTACCACCACTTTCTGGACCCATTTCACACTGATTTCAATCTGTTCCATGTGAATCACTGACAATTTTGTTCCCAACTTGGGCAGAGTTTAGGTTGGTAGAAACTGAGCAAGGCTAAAAATCTCTCTGAGCACACAGCAAGGGGCTGCAAAAGTGTGCAGCTGGACCTTGATGTGTCCATCCTTGTTTCCTCCTGTCCCACCTTGACAAAAAGAACAAGGGGCCATCCATGTGAGATGCTTCCCCATGTTACCTCTGTCCGTGCCCTTCTGCTTGCAGGCTTTACCTTGTGTAATCGAGCCCCTCATGTGATGCTGCTCCTTCAAGTTATGGGGACTGTGTCGGTCTGGAGGGATCGCTCGACCCATGAGACCTGGAACAGATCCAAGAGGGAAAGTTGTGTTGTGACACAGGAGTTAATTTACAATGAATACACGACAGTGTTACCAGGGACTCCAGGGCCAAGGAAAAACACAAACAATACCTACATTACTTATTTCTCTTTTCTCTTTTTTTTTTTTTTTTTTAAATGTGCTTATTTTTAATGTGTTCCTGAAACTGGTCTTCCAGGACAGAAACCAAAGGGAAATGGGCCAGTCTGTAGCCTTTGCTTTCCCCTGTGGTCAGATGCTGCTAGGATGTGCTGCAGGATATCATCTAACCACTGCCAAAACACTGGCACAAGAAGGTGCATCATGTAGATGAGAGACAAGATGGGGTCTCCACGGGTCACTAACAAAACACAAATGGAAGGTTTCACCCAGACCCACCTTCAATGCTGGCAGATAAGGTATCACGGGCTGATAAGCCCCGGCTGATCCTCCCCTCCATCATATCATAGGTCCGCTTAGTTCCTGTGGTCTCATGGGAAGCTCCGGAGCTCCTGCTGTCTTCTTTGGGACACTGAGAAGCAGCAACTCCACCTGAAGGCGAAGGGAACATCAAGAGGCACCATCATGAGCATGGAAAGTCAGCCTGGGCCAAGGGAGGGTGTTTACTGCTGTTTGCGTGCGTTGCTGAGAGGTCAGATCCCATCCCAGCATCAGCCAAGCGCTCCGCAGTGCCAGAAATATTGCATGGGGTTGGCTTCCAGGAAATTCAGCTGGTGTTTTCTCTCCTCCCTGCCTGCCTCAGCCTCCAGATCTGTGCCTCCAGCTTGGGTAGGAGCATCCACCCTGTCATGTCCCACTCCCTCCTTCCCTTTCCAGTGGGGCCATCACGTAGGCAGTGGGACAGCCTGGAGCCAGCGTGGCACTGGCGGGACCAGCTGCGGTTCCCCTGAACTTGGCCCCTCTGGGTCTGGGAAGTTTTGGTTTTTTTCCCCTGTTTGTTTTGATTTTTGCTAGACACCTACTGTTTGGGATCTTGGCCAGCCTTAACATTTGCCGAGACACTCCCTGGGTGAGAAAATCAGGGAAAACGGCAGAGAGGCAAAGCTGAGAATGATTCCTTTGAAATGGTGGTGAGCACACATAAAAAACTGGGAGAGATGGTGGAAAGTCCCATGCAGGACTGATGGAGCAAGTGCCACTGTGAGGAGAGACCACTTACTACCCCCTCATCTGAACCTGGAGCAGGTTCCCTGGAAACAAACAGTGGACATCTGTCCTGAGCTACAATCCCATCACAAGCACAGTCCTGCCCGTGCCAGGCAGCATACCACCCACCCCAGGCGATGGGCACCCATCATGTGCGCTGAGCTGTGAATTCAGCAGCTTTCTGATCCAGCTGAATGCCTCGTGTTTATGTAATGAGCTCCAAATGGGATGTCAGCTTGGAGAGACAAATGCCTCTGCCCATCGTCCCTGGACAGGGCACCCCTGCCAACAATCACGAGTGCCCTGACCCTCCTCTTCGTGGGCAGAGAAGGTGGTTGTACAATTAGAGAAGACAGAGAAGTTAAAAACATTTGTTCCATTGTGGACAATCAGGAACAAAACTCCTCCTCAGCAAAACCAGTAATTAATAAAATGGGATTATTACAACTTCACACCCACTGCTGGTTTCCGCAATCAGCACCCACTCAATCCGCAAAGTGTTTGGGGCTGTGTGTGGGGGAAACAAGGGGGTCCGTGCCTGAGCCTTCCCTTCAGCTCCATTCTACAGGAGAAATCCGGGGGTGACATTCAGAATCAGCCAAGCACCGTGTGGCAGACGCGGGCGATGCGCCTGCACCCTGTCATCAAGGCACATCTGTTGCCACCAGCCCTTCTGCAGGAGGGGACGTGCTCCCAGGCACCCTTTGTACCACCGGGAAGCAGGGGGAGGGCGTGAGAGAGAAGAGAGACTAAACAGAAAGAAAACCACTCCAAACCCACGTCCCTCGCCTTCAGCAGCCATCAGCAATCATATGCAGGATGAGAATAACCAATCTAGCACAATTCAGCTCACACATGCTACAGGATCTCGTCTCATTACAGCTCTTTTATTTTAAGCACCCTCATGACACTAAAGAATTTGCAATTTTTTTCCTGCTTGCCAAAATTCATAATCACCAACAGTTTCAGTTTTCTTATTTAATTTTTTTTTTTAACTCTTCCACTCCTGGCTGCACAGCCTTGTCAGGCTGTAGGGGGAGGGGGGAGAGAGGCAGGGCTGGCGAGGCTGCAGCAGCACGCGGGATCACTCAGGATGTGATAAACGCTATCAAGCATGTAAAAGGCTGCTGGGGAAAGGAAGGAATTAATTCCTCATCTGTGTCCATGGGGGGTAGGATGAGAGGTGACAGGCACAGGCTGCAGCCAAGGAGACTCAGGCTGACATGAACAGCGGGGAAGAGTTTGGTCTGCAGCTCTCCTTCACTGCCTGCAGGATCCCAGATTTGGGCATGGGCAGCCTTCCCTGCCAGGAGCCCTCCCCATCTCTTCCTGATGGCACCATTTCTGAGATCAGCCTCGTTCGACCCCAGCCCAGGCAGAGGAGATTAAAATAGCTTCTTGCACAAACAAGTCCTGAAATGCTTCCTGTGTCCTCCCTGGTCCAAGCCCTGCCAACTGTCCCAAAGGGCACCCAGACACAAGTGCTCCACGGTGACACTTCTTATCTGGGCTAGAGTTGACAGTGGACGTGGGGAGGCATGGGATGAGCCAGTTCCCATGTGGCAAGCGAGAAGCACCACACAAAGCCCTGTCCTAAAAGGTCCCTACGGTCCCAGGGCATACACAGAGGTGACATCAGCTGGAGCTTGTGAGTTGTCCCCCACGGCCTGACCTGAACCCTCTGCCTCCGCCCTACGTGAAACAACCAACCGTGATGAAACCAGCTGCCTGCACTTGTGGGCAAGAGGAAAGGGACTTCTTCAGGAAACACTCTGCCTGCAGGACTGACTGCAGAGCCCCAGAGAGGGATGCTCTGCCCCAGGGAGGGAGGCAGAGGGTTCATGCAGCACAGCAGCTGGCCAGAGACACCTGCTGAGGTGGATGAGGTTGGGATCTGCTCCTCAGCCATCTCCCAAACTCAACAGAGAAGAGAGGTGACACACGAGGACGGCCATCCCTGTGCACACGCCAGTATTTTACCCCAAGAGCATGTGGGGCTGCAGAGTCTAACTCAGCTCTTCCCAAGCCCAGCTGTGGGGTAGGAGGAGCCCGGCTCCACAACAGGAGATGCCCAACCCAGCACACAGCGAAAGGTGAGAACAAAGGGGTTGCTTCCAGCCTCACTGCAGAGGAACATCTGCTTATCTCCAACGGGAGGCACCGGGATGCAGAGAACAGCTCTGATGGCCAGTGCTGCACTGGGCTGAGCAGGCGCAGAGGAGGCAGAAGCAGCTGGTGACCACCTGCTGGTACCACTAACACAGCGAGGCACTGCCGGCATTCACCGAGGAAGCGCCTCACTGTGCTGGGGGGGGGGTGAGGCAACGGGCCAACACGTCCCCAGACAGGCTCCTAGTGGGATGCAGGAACAGCTTCACGCCCCTCAACAGCTCTAGCAAAACATTCTAGGTACTGAGGCACAGTGCTCCTGGACCCAGGAGGACTCCTTACAAGGCAGCCCCAGGCTGGAAAAGCTGCACAGTGACCAAGACACTGCAGGTGAGAATCTGATGACCAAATAAACCTTTATGCCAAACTATCTGATTTGCCTCCATCTTGAAGGTTCTTGAGTCTGTCTTGGCCCAAGAGTTTGGGGATGCTCTTGTGATGCTTTCCATCAGCCCCCCTCCTGCACAGTATGCTAGGGATGGAGGCAAATACATTCCCATCTGGTTCTCTCCTCTTCCCTGCTTCCCAAAACCAACCAAAACCATTGCAGCCTTGCCTGCCAGCAAGCTGTTCCTAAGGCAAGATAACCACGCGCTGGAAGCAAGACATGAGGCTGGCCCATTGCACTTTGTCAGCCTTTCCTCAAATAGCTCCCAACTCCCAGCCAGGGTGGCACAAACCCCCGGCACCTGCCCTAAAAAGGCAGAGTTAGGACTTACCCTCGTATGACAGCACGTGGCCTTTCTTCCCTTCGTAGATGACATGTCCTTTGGGCACGGCATCCTCCCTCGCCTTCTCTGCTCTGCTGGGGCTGTCTTCTCCGATTATCCTGGTAATGGTTCCTTTGTACAGCACTTCTGCCGGGGTGCCCTTGGAAAGCCACCAAGATCCATATTTAACAGTGTCACAAGCAATTAAGCAAGCGCGCGCAGGGACAGGCTGTTCCCCACGGGAGGCTGAGCGGAGGGAGCGCACCCGGCCTCCGCTTCCTGGCGCAGCCAACAGCGAGGGACTTGCAGCTTAATTATTGATGAGGACGATAACGAGGAGTGGTAAAAAGGTACGTGATCTGTGCGAGGCTGCTGGGAAGAGGCGGGGGATGAGGACAGCACAGACCTCCAGAACAGCAACTCTCTGACCCTGCGTGTTTCAGAGTAAGCTACCTGGCTTGCTTCTCCTCCCAAGGTTCGGTTGCCCTCCTGGGGACACCTTGGTGACAGCAGGGACTGCTCGAGTGTTAGCTTTTCCCCTGCAGCCTAGTTCCTCAGCCTGGCACAGGAGCCCCGGAGAAGTCCTGCCCACCCAGGCAGATCTGCTGGCAGCAGCGTGACCTTCAGCGAGCTGCCTGTGTGCGGGAGCTGGCGGCTGGCAGCGCGCCCAGGCGAGATGGCAGCGACGAAACCTGTCCCGGAGCAGGTCGGGGAGCGAAGGCTGCCTTAGCTCTCCAACAGGAACAGCATTGGGCTTCTCACACAAACTGGTGTGAAAAAAACCTCTCCTTCCCCCAGGCACACACAGACACAGCTCACAGCCACCTGCCCCCGGAATCCCCTTCAAAACACACAGAACTGGATGTCCTTGAAGAGTCACTGGTGATTAACACCCCTCTGCCATTGTAACCTGCTGGTGCCAACTGGGAACAGCCACCATGGGGTGATGGTTACCCTCCCCATCTCTGGAAAGGCACAGCAATTCCGTCAGAGTGAAGCTCTCGACTGACACCTGCCTACTCTGCTCATTTAACCCCTGCAACCCCTGGGACCGATGCATCCCTGGGGGAAGCCTCAGGGATATGATGCTCCAGGCAGCTTTGCTGGTGCTTGGAGGTTGTGCCATGCAGGCTATTCCCCCACCCCTGCCTGGGGATGCCCCTGCTCTGTGCCAAACCCTCAGAGCACCAGCAGTCCCCAAAACCCTGCTGCAGTTGCTGGGACGTGCCAGCACGTGAGTTCAGCGCTCTGGTCATTCACCCTCTCGGTGCACCTGGGAACGGCCCTTCCAGCCCCAGGTAAGTCACCTCCCCCCTGCAGATGTGCTCTGAGGGGACATAAAAGCAAGTGATGACAGATGGCTTCAGAGCAGAGAGCATATATGCAAGATCTGCCTCCTGTGAACTGGATGACTAATCTGAGATCAAATATCAGCTCTGGTACCGAGAGGTGCTGCTGGAACAGGGGGCTCCTTCTCCCCGCAATGGGAGCAGAGGGATGCAGGCTGCTGGGCCAGCAGGAGAGGCAGGCAATGCCCTGGGTCTGGGCTTGGTACCTTAATCCCAAGCCAAACAAAGGAATCTATTAGCTGGATTCATTAGCTGGATGCAAAACAGTGTCTCAATAAACTCTGCTGATTTCCTGAACTGGCACGTGGTGCTCAAGGCCCTGGACGCCCACCCATTGCTGCCCATAGCTGCTGCAGGAGCATCTGAGAGGACAGAGCAAGTGTTTGCTCTGATGAGTTATTTACAGCCCCCAAGCACCCGCTCCTGGAACCTGTTGGACACGGGGCACCAGGCAAGCTAAGCCTTTGCTCTCGGCCAGGATTCAGGATCAAGTCCCCAGGGCCAAAGAGAACATGGTTGCTCCCCTTGAAGGACGCAGGCAAAAATCTAAGCCTGAGTGGCTCTAAATATCTGAATGATGGCCAGATAAAATCCCCATGGGAAGCAGGTTTTTTTTTTTTTTTTTTTAATGCTCTCCGCTCTGTTACCAGATGAGCAATAACTCACACTGCAAGGAACTATTGCCCGCTTGCCAGCTGCTCTTCTGAAGATGGATGGTGGAGATTAAGGCCAAAGTATCTTCCTGCTGAAGAGCCTTCGGGCAGGACCCCCAGCGCAGCATGCTCAGTGCTGGCAGGAGTCCTCGCTACCTTATGTGCCCCTCACAGCCTCCTCCCTCCTCCACTGGGCCTGGGCCCTCCACCCATCTCCTCCTCTGCTCTGCTCCACTTTCTTGCCCCGGCAAGACGATTTTCTCAGATCCACTTAAAGCTGCCTTTGCCTCTGTTCCTGACAGCTACGTAAACCAAAGCAGGGTTTAAACGTGCTGTAAGGCTGCATTGCTGCTCGTCAGGCTCTGCTCTCCTGCAGTTTCAGCTCACAGGACATGGCTCATGCCATCCCAAGCAGAGGTTGTTTCCAGACCTCTCTGAGGGTCTCCATGGGGTGGGGCATCACAGACCTGCTGCACAGCCCTGTGTCCCACACTCCATGCACCCTGCAAACCCCTGGCCCCCTTGTCCACAAGCTGCAGCCACCAACACCCAGGAAGCAAAATCTACTGGAAAAAAGGAACCTACATGTGTGATGGACCCTCGGTAGGTGATGGGGGACTCCGGAGGTGGTCTGGATGTGGGTGTTCCCTTGGTGATGCTCCCTCCAGAGGCAGAGCTGAGGGAAGTACCTGTAGGACACAAAGTCAGTGAGCTTGGGGCTGGATTTGCTGTTCAGCACAAAACCCATGGGGCTGAGACTACTAAGTGTAGGATTTGAGCCCACCACACTCAGGCTCCTGACTGCCTTACTGGAGGTGGGGGTCACAAACCAGAATTTGCACCAAAAAGCAACACCTTGGCATTTATTTCCTTTTACCTGGCTAATGGGGAAAGAAACCCGAGAGAGTTGCATTTAAAGAAAATGTGGTCCCTGCTCAGCTGCAGCAGCAACAGTAAAAAGCATGAAAACACCAAGTAATGGAATTTAAACAGGTCTTGCTCTGTCTTATGTAACAGATTTTCAGGTGGCCCTTGAGCACAAAACCTTTACCAGAATTGAGACCTGAGGCCCTGATTTGGGGAAACGGAGAAAAGGGGTGAAGAGACCTCTTGGGGTGAGCACAGTCCAAGGAATCAAACCCAAGATAACCAGGTGTCATGGGCTCAGGTCAAAACCCCGACACCAGGCAGCTGCAGCCAGCGTGGCATTCACCAGGCTTGGCAGTGCCAGCATCCCTCCCCTTCCCCAGCCGGGACATGCGCTTCCCACTCTGGGTCCTCACCTCGCAGGATGGAGCCCTCCTGGGATGGCTGTAGAACCAGACTTTCTGGCTGGCTGGCCTGGCTTCTAGGAGAAAGTTGTTCCTGCTTTACTCCAGGAAAAGGCACTGGAAAACATTAACCACAGATCAGCATAGCCGCAGGACAAGGGGCTGCAGCCCTTGGCTCCTTGAGGCTTTTATTCCTGCCAGCCCCCAGTTGGCACCTTCTGGGTGCCTATGCCATCCCCAGCTCTTTGGGATGGACTTCCCAAGGTGGTGAACACACAAGTGGTGGCGAGCAAAGCCAGGTCTTTCACACTGGCAAAGGCACTGCCCACACTGGGACCGGAGTTGACACTTGAAAATCTTATGCTGGTTTATAACAGGACTTACACACAGTAGGAAACTGAGCCCATATCCCTACTCCCCAGGCCTCATCCCTCACCCATCCCCTCCTGCTGTTAAGAAAAGCTTCCAAATCTGCAGACTAAACACTTTCTTTGTTCACTTCAGGCCATTTACTCTTTATCCTACCAGCCTGGGGAGCAACAATATATTTCCTTCCTTCGATCACAGTATTAGCCGGAGGGTATTTATAGGCTGGGATGCATCCCTGACCGAGTTGCTGCTTTCCTACACTGCACAAATTTAGCTCCCTGTGTCTCTGCTCTCCTGATGGACTAATCCTTTCATCCTCTTAGCAGTTCTCTCCGTGCTCCCTTGCTGTGTCCTGTGCTCCTCCTTTCTCCTATGCTGCCAGCAAGCTCGCTCCCTGCTGCTCTCAGGGCACGTGAGAAACGACTCGCTTCCCAGTTCCTTACCCAGTTTCTTGGGATCCATGGTCAGTGGTAGGCCCATGGTGATGGAGCCGACGGGGACCTTGGCATGCTCAGAGCTGTAGGGTGTGTGGAGCTGGATGGGCATTCCCTGTGGGGCAAGAGGAGAGGTCAGGAGCGGCTGCTGGTCCTTGCGAGGTGTCTCCACTGCTCACACCCAATACCCTACCTGGGAAATGGATCCGACGGGTCTCTCCAGCACGGAGGGGTGCTTGGTGGAGGAGATGAGGGGGGGAGGGTTGGAGATGCTAGCCAGTCTCTGCAGCCCCGAGCGAGAGCTCTCATGCAGGTTTAGTGGGATGGGGTGTCCTGTGAGGAAAACACAAACGTTAGTGGGACCAGGGCAGGCAGAGCGGCTGCAGCTATTGGAGAGGAAAGGGGCACAGGAGGGAGCAGGGACTGGATGCACTGAACTGGCCAGCTGTAAGCCTGCACAAGGCTCCAAGTCACATGATCATTTTGGAAAGGACTGGAATAGTTTAAATTACTGCCTTGTCCCCTCTGCAGCCAGAGGATGTGCTGCGCCTGACTCGTCTGCCCTCCAGTTGGAGAGGGACAGTGCAGCAAAGGATAAAACCTGCCTGACTTTGCACCCACACTGCTCTGTGACAAAATACATCCCTAAACCTGCCCAGCCAGAGCTGGGAGATCCACGTGATCACCCTTGAATCTTCAAGAAGCTGACCTGTGGTACTGGCTGCAATCACAGTCTGTGCTCAGCCTCAGGTCAGGCAGAGGAGGACACACACCACACAGCCAGCGGGTTCTACTTGCCTGGTGGGTTGTACTGGAACAAGTGGGGTTCTGCCTGGGGAGAGGTTTTGATCACATCCCGGGGGTAGGACAGGACAGGGGGCCAGCAGGAGGCGGCCATCGACTCTGCGCTCAGCTTCTGAGCCTCTGCGATGGAGGAGAAATGCACGGACTTTTCTGCAAGGGACACAGAAAGAAACCAGCTTGGTTAGAAGCCTCCACAGGTGAGCATGGGAAGAGAAGCCAGAGCCAGCTCCAAGCACATGAAGTGGCTTCAGTTCTGTCCGACCTGGACTTGAGGTGAGGGCTGAATTCCCCAACCAAGCTAAAAGGAAAAAGCTCAGTGTTACTGCCTGGATTTGACAGCATTTATTTTACTCAGATGTTTGAAGTGCAGCCTGAGGATGGACATCTGTGCTGGTGACTCTGCTGGTGCTCACTGCCAGCAGCAAGCTCCGTGGACCTCGTGCCATCCCACCTCACCGAGGAGAGACGGCATTTGCAGCCAGTTGCAGGGTCCAGCTCCTCACCAGGCCTCGGCCATCCGCGAATCGCTCCTGGGCACCTCCTGCCTGTGCCCACAGCTCCACAGTGGCCACCATGGCACGGCGGAGAGATGAATGATGATCCTGCCAAATCCTACACTGAGTTTAAAACCAAGAGCCACCAATGTCAGCGTCCCTTTGGCGCATGAGGGACACCCAGAGAGGACCTGGCTCTCTGGTGACAACACTGTCTGTGGTGTGCAGCAGGGCACAGGATGCCTGCAGAGCTCCAGGACACTGCCAGGGACCACTGTGTACCAGTACACTGAGAACAAGCTCATCCCCACATCACACCTCGATGAGAAAGCTCAGCTGCTCCTAAAGGACGGCTGCTGGCTACAAATCATTTGCAGGCTGTGGGAAGTGGCCAGAAACAGTGGCATCAGCTACTTGGACAAGGAAATAACACATTGATGTTCTCTGAACACCTGGGACAACCACACTGCCTGAGACTGTCAAAGGCAAACGAAGATGAAGAGGGACTCTGTGGGACAACCAAACGAGGGCAGCCTGCTGTGAGGCACAGCGGCTGGGGGCAGGAAAGATTCCTGAAATTACCTGGCTCAGGGCATCCTGGATGCCATTCTGGGTTCATCCTGGCTACAAAAAGGCTGACTGGAGGCCAAGAAGAGCTTAATGATGGAGGAACTGTGCTGGGGATGCCCGAACCCTGTCGTGCGCTGAAGGATGGCAGGGAAAAGAGAGGCTTCATCTGCACCAGCTCAATGCCAAGTGCATCCTCATGCTTTGCTAAGCAGACAGATGAGACAGCCTTTTCTGGATGGATTAGAGGCAGGTTTGGTAGGATTTGCTTGTAATCAATAAACACTTAATTTTGCACTGCCCTTCTTCTCCAGATCCACCTGTGTAACATCTGCATTGACCAGAAATTAGAAACCGGGCAGTAAACAATAGCAATCACAAATGAACCCAGCCTTTAGCCATCAATTTCTGATAAAAATAGATGCCTGAATCCTGCTAAGCCTAATAATAGGGCAAGTAGATTATCAGAGGCCCAATTTAATGAAGCTTTACTGCATTATCATTATTAATGCTCAGTGTACTCAGAAGCTGGGAGATTATTCTTGTCCCCTTCGGTGAGAGAAGAAATCCATTCTGGGCACACAGAGGTGTGCAGGCACTCACACCTCTGCTGCCTGCTGGGGCCAGACCTTGGCTGGGGCCTCTTCTCTCCCCATGCTGGATCCCAGAGAGGATTCCTTTGTCCTGCCAGTATAGGGGAATCCAGACACGTCCTCCACTCTGACTGAGAGCCCCTGCCACGTCCATGCTCTCTGATCTTCTGCCCTTCAGCTCAGCCCCGCTCAGCTCTGCTCATGTGGGGGCGAACAGCGCTGGGATGTCCCAGCTGAAGATGCTCCCTGACGCCAAGGCACTGTCAGCCAAGGCTACGTGCACCCTGGATGGCTCTTGGAGAGCCCCATCCTCCTCCCCTCCCCACGGGAACCATCCCCTCCCCTGCATGCCTCTCCAGCCTGTGAAATGTGGCCAGCTCCTAATTGCCCCCACATTAGAGGGTGGCTATAACTCAGCCAGCTTTTGATAAAATAGCACTTACGCGGGGAAGAGAGAGTTCCTATTACCGTTTATCAAGTCCCTGGAATGGGAGCGAAGGAGTCAGAGTTTATATGATCCGTCATCCAAATTAATGCTCTTGGCTCCCCATCGCCTACAAAGGCCAAATGAAACACAACTAAATCAACACAAAACATACTGCTGGAGTTCAAACCGCCGAGAGATAACCAAAGATATGCCCGACGGCAAGTCGGCAATGGCAAAAGGGATCCGTCTGCCTGCCGGTGAGATCCAGGCAGGGCTGCCTGCCTCTGCCCAGCCCCGTGATTAGCAGCTCCTCTTGGAAGGCAGGGAGGGGAGGGCAGCGCTCGGGAAGGTACGGCTGGCTGGCTGCCCTCCAAGCCGATATGGCCCCAGCCAGCGGCTGCGAGGCAGCCAACGCCTCGGCCAGGATGTGTGCAAGACTTGGCTTTGAAGCAAATCCAGAGCGGTGTGAAGGATGTTGATCTCTGGAGCAGTTGCAGGGGTTCAAGCTCTCCTATAAGGCAGGGGAGGAACAGGAGTACCTGCTCCGGTGGAGCTGGCCCCTTGCTGGGCAGCGGCACAGGGCTGTTCTCCCGAAGGCTCTGCAGGCTGTACTGGACTCTCCCCTTTAACTCAAGGCCCAATGGCAGCACAACGTCTGCAGTCTGGATGTTTGCCACTGGGATGCCTTGGAGAACAGGGGAGGGAAGGGATGTACACAGATTTGCCAGGACGATCTGGCTATCTCCCTTCTAACCCCTGACCCACAGCTGGGATGTGTTCCAAGGGGCAGAGACAGCACTGAGTCCATACTCGCACTGAAATCAGGGCTTTGGGGGAGCTGACTTCTCCCCGAGGTGACTCATCACAAATCTGCTGGTTTTCAAAGGGGAGGTGCATTTCCATCGCAGAGGAGACCAGCCTATGACTCCCTGGGGTCCACATGCACCCCAGACCCACCGTGGCACCCAGCACACATGCACAGCCACGCAGGGCTTGGAGAGCACACAGCTGGAGCCCAAGCCCTGCTGAGATGTTTGCAGGGTACAGGGAGGTGTAATTAATTTCATTAACATGGAAGATTCAGAGCACTACAGAGGAGAGAATAAAGTGCCTCATATCATTAGTGCTTCGAAGAGAACAAAGCAACAAAAAAATCCACCTGGATAACAGATCCTTGTATTTAATAATGGTGCCAACAGGTCACAGAATGGCATGATTGACTCCAACCCCTAAACCCTGCCTTGTACTTCACACACATAAATCTGCCTCATCTCCTCATCCTCCTGTGGCCAGGAGGAAGCTGGAGCTGCAGCACTGAGACATGAGCGATGCAGAGCTCTGGGCTGGAGTGCTGGCCGTAGCACCCAGTGCACCAGGAAGCTGAGCAGTGCAGCATCAGATCCACACAGGATTAGGGCACAGGAGGTCAAACCTGATTACCTGCCACTGAGGGGGAAGAGCTAGAGAGGAACTGTTCCGCCTGGGCAGCAAACAGGAACACAGCAGGATCAGATCAACTGGAAATGGGACTTCATGGGTGGCAACACCATGACTTTGGGGAAACTCCCTTTCTTTCAAGGTGAGCAGTCACCTTCCTTACTTGTATGCAAAACATTCTGAAGGCGTGATGCACACTTGGTGCTATTTATTATTCAAAAAAAATGTGGACAAGTGGCAGCAACCAACTCTCCCTGCAAGCACATCCTTCTGTCCAGAGGGACATGACAGCTTGAGGAATAGCTACCTTGTCCAGGACACACAGAGCAGGCTGCTACGATCCTGGCTGCCAGAGGGTGAACTAGTGCAGTGATTTTCCAGCAAAGATCACCACCCTAGTCCAGTACAGATCTGCCTCCCCAATACAGCCTTATCCACCTTCCTCTTCCGTGCACAAGCAGGTAAATTTTGCAGCTGCACCCACCCCTGAGCAGGATCCAGCACTGGGGGACAATGCACCCACCCAGCCCAACTTCCCTGCTCCTCACTGTGACACTGGTGACGGCATCTCATCTTCCCACACAGCTGAGCCACAGACTGCCTACAAGGAGCAGGGACACAGACGCTGAACTGGAATAGACTCTGACACTCAGATTAAAAACACATTTAGAGGATGGTCTCATCAGGACTTCCCGTCTCTCCTTAACCTTGATCCCCAGGTGCTCAAGCTAATAATGCTTCAGATGCTCTACGGTGGGAAACTCTGAATTGCTCATTAGGCAGCCAAATCACATCAGAGCTATTCCGGGGAGAAAGCACTGGGAATCTTTACAGGAACCTTTGGACTGCGAGTCACAGTATTAGCATTGATTTTAAATGAAATAATGGTCCCTGCTGTGCATTAAAAGCATTCTTTATAGAAAGCCAGCAAGGTAGAAAAGAGCCATTGTACCCAGAGCCTTGGCATGCCTCCAGGCCCCTCTGCTCTCCAGTGAATGGCAGAGACGCTAATAAAGGCAATCTTCACCTCCTCGGCGCTCCACACTGCCCGGTGTTTGCTGTAGGCTCAATGAGACATGATGTACTGTCTAATGAACACGGGAAATTAGCCATGCCTCTCTCGTCCTGCCTCAAGATGCTATTAAAGAGCTTTCAAGGGTCGAGGAAAGCTTTCACCTAAGAGGGGGAAAGCTGCTGGCTGCGTACAGCTGCACACAGTGGGCATTTCTGTGCGGATACACACGCACCAGCACACACACAGCCCTACCTTCCTTGTCACCAACAGCGGGGCTCCGGCTCTTTCCCCTGGGACTGCTGCTGGGCTGCTGCTGCTCCTTCTCAGGCTGCTGCTGCTGGGGCTTGCTCGGGGGCACGTCCTCACGGGCAGACTCGTGGGCTTTTGTGATCTGCTGCTGGTAGAGAGCCAAGGCGTGGGGAGGTACCTGAGGCTTCACGCTTCCACTCTGCAGTATCCCTTCTGAGAAACCTTCGGAAATCTGCAAAGCAGTAAGAATTGGTGACACTTGTCATGTGCTGTTGACATCTGTAACAGTCATGGAGGCACCGAGATGTTATGAGAAGCCCCTGTCCCATCATGGCAAGTCTTGGCAGGGCAACAGGGCTACAAAGCTCACCAGCCACAGGAGATTAGGAAAGCCCATGACAAAGAGTATTAGCCCTGTGCTGGTGCCACAGGAGAGACTCAGACTTGTTTAACCCTCTAATCTATAGTTACGTGCTCATAGCTTTTCTCACATCTTCAGTTGTAACGTGGGAAACTGGAAGAGCAACAGGAACGGGTCCTCTCTGAGCACCCAAATCCCAAGGCAGGGATTTCCTCCCTGCTCACCCTGTGAAGCTGCTCCTCTGGTGCTGACCCTGGAGATACCAGGATGAGTTTTGCCACAGCCCAAGCCACTGCACCAGGAGGAACCATCAGCCTTGGAGAGTACACGTTCTTTCAATTCTCAACTACTGGGTAGCCAAAAAGAGACCAAGCAAAGCTTCTTGGTGAGAAGTACTTCTTAGGTGGTATCCTTCAAGCACATGAGATGAAATGCAGGGCTGGGAAGGTGCACTCTTGCTTTTTAAAGCAATGGGAGGCAGCAGTCATGTGGCAGCGAGAAGCTTTTTCTGTCCAGACCTCCCACGACTTTCTGATAAAAGAGCTCAAGAGACATCCAAACGCTGCTGGCAGAGCTGCTCCAGCAGCTGGGAACATGCTCTGCACAGGGAGCACCTTGCTTGCCCGGGGGGTTGCACCACCCAGGCACAGCTCTCCATGGACCAGAGGCCATCCCCAGGGACAAGCACATCCTTGCAACCCTGACGCACACCACAGAGCCCAAGGGAAGAGCACGCACGAGGCCCAGGCAATACCCTGTGCTCCCAGTCCCAGCCCTCTCTGGTGGGGTACTCACAATGGGAGGGATGGCAGCAGCTCGCTGCTTCAGCTGCTTCAGGTCCAGAGGCTTCTGCGGTGACGAGTTGAGCCTGGTGTCGCTGGTGGTGTTGAGCAGGCTGGGCCGGGGGGACAGCAACCTGGAACCAACACACTCATGTCAGCAGGGCAATGCCAAGGGAACATTCCATGTCCCAGCCCAAACCCTGCACCCCTGTTTTATGCTGCTGAGCCTAGAGATTCCCCTGCTGGGAATCTGGGCTCAAAGTCCCAGAGCACTTCATGCTCAAATGAGACCATTATATTTGGCTCAGCAGGCTCTCAAGCCCCCTTTCCCTCATTCCTACACTATTCCAAGCAAATATGCTGTTGTCCAGAATAAATTTGAGGGAGAACTGGAGCCTGGAGCTGGGCTTTATGGCGCAGGGTGACCAATTCAGATTTCATTTGGCCGTCATGGTACCCTCTGGAGTTCCCATGTGGTGCTCACCCAGAGCTGGGGATTGGCCCGTGCTCCTCTTCAAGGACTGTCTTTTATCAAGGTGCTAAAGCCAGGATAAGCCACCACATGCAGGCAGCTGGGGCGCTAGGGTCACTTGAAAGACGAGAGGCTGGATTTGAATGGGATTTGGTGCTCAGCAGCCCAGCAGCTGTGCAGCCCTGCACTCTCACCACTTGCTCTTCCCCTTGGCTGTTTGAGTTCCCTGGTAGACACTCAGCCAGCCATGCAGGGTCCCTGGGCAAACACAGTGGGGATCCCCATGGGATCTCCATGGGGTGGAGGTGTGCGAAGCCCATGGGTCAAACCATCGGTGTGTCCAGCTCCCAAGCTCATGCTGAGACCCTGGGGACCCTATCTCTCCAGGCCATCTCTGCTTTCTCTCTCCTGACTTCAATTTGTTGAAGCCAGTTCATAGTTTTCAAGCTTTACAGCTTGATTTGTTTATTTTAGCTGTTATTTCAGTGTTCTCTTCAGCCTATAAATTTCAAGGTCATTCCATGCTCACCCTTGGATGAATAAACAAGCGTGGCGGGGCCATGTGCGGGGAATAAACTCATCATGGTGTTGGGACTGCCCCAGCCCTTGCTCTGTGCAGCCTGGCACCAGAGAGGAAGGGGACCCACCTCCACATGGGGCCCAGGGTGCTCTGGTTAGGCACCCAGGGGAGACCAGGCAAGGGCCAGCAAATCGCAGCTTCTCCCTAAATAATCCCAGTGATGTCTGCCTGTGAAGCCACATGGATGTTATGAAGCCACGCTGTGGGGAGCACAGGGCTCCTGGAAGGCTGCAATGCCCCAAAGTCTGCTGAAACACATGGCTGGGGACAAGGGCACCCAGCACTTGTCCCTGAGACCTTCACGCCACGCTGAGCTGTGGCACAGCCGCCGCAGCAGCTGCTTTGTGCGCTCGTTGGTGCTTGCAGAGATGCATTTAAGCACCCTTAAAGTCCCTTAAGCACCCTCAAGATCCTCAGGTTTCCTGAATCCCTCCAGGATCCTGACACTTAGGAAGCCAAAGGCAGTATTGAATTCATCAATATGCAAATTGCCTAATTTATGACATCCCTCCCAGCAGATCTTGCGCTGGACATTGGTATGTCCTGCTCTGCTCTGGAAGTCACTGTATGAACAACTCTCAGCATCTTGTATCCACTTCCTGCCAAGCAGCAGCCTCCCAAATGCAAGCACGAGTGCCTAAGGACGGGTGATGGCATTGGGAAGGATGGGAAAGGGATTTGAGCAGGAAGGGGTCAGGACACTCAAGGCTGAGCTTCGGTAGTGTAGAAATGTCCACTCCCAGGCATGAAGCTTTGGGGATGACTAGGACACTGCGTTTCCCAGTATCTGTCATGGAGATGGGGACTAGTTTAATTTTCAGATGAGCCAACACACGGACACACGACCCAGCCAAACGTGACTCCATGCACAGCCAGTGGTTGTGCAAAGGCAGTGGCTACCAGATCTCCCCAACAGTCTCCTCCACGCCATGGCACCAACACGGCGCTGGCCCGGCAGAGTCCCTGCACCTATGGCTGAGCCAGCGATGGGATGTGCAGCCCAGGGGTGGCTCAGTGCAGTGTTTGTGGGCAGATATCTCTTCTCTGCACTGCAGGTCTGCAGTGGTGGCTGTGCACGGCCTCCCTCACGCGTCCCCACCTGGCGTGACCTCCCGCTGAACCACATCCTGGCCGTGCTCGCAGCATCTCTCCTGCAGCACTCACCGCGTGGAACCACAGACAACCAGCTGCCTTCTTCAGCTTGGATGAGTTAAGGCTGCGCCTCCTCAATCCTGGACGTGTCTCTGCTAGTGCGAACCGCAGGAGGACCCAAAAAAAGGCTGCCCCTACCCTGCACCCTTTCCCTCTCACCGCGGGGACACCCCAACCACCCTCTGTCCCCTTCTGGGAGATGCCAGGGACAGCTTGATGCTTTCACAAGCGCAGGGAAGAGCACCCACGCCCCGCCGGCGCTGGGTGGGCGGGCGAGCATCGGGTGATGCGGTGACGGGGCGGCTCACGCGGCATCGCGGCAGCCTGGCCCTGCTCAGCGCGAGTCACGCTGCGGCAGCGGGGCTGCGGGAACCGCCTGCGGGACACCAGCCCTCGGCCCACAGCAAAGGCGAGGGGGCAACGACCGAGCCGGGAAGGGCGTGGCGGTGCCAAAAACTCTGACCCAGCTGTGGATCAACCCTGTGGGTGCCTCTGGGTTGGGAAGTGCCCAGCGCCAGCGTCAGTTGCAGCATTCCCATGCTGGCAGGCTCTGCTATCACCTGCATCTCATCGCCACGCCGGATAAGAGGAGCGGCCTGGGAGCTGTGGGACGACTGTTTAATGTTTAATATTCCTGGAAGCTGGTAACCGTTTGACAAGCGAGATAGGCGCTGACTCAGCGAGTATGAAAAAGTCGGGATGGAAAAGTCGTTCCCAAGACGACTTGCTCCTCTGCTGCTGGGAAGTCGGTACGAGCTGCTTGCTGTCCTGCTTTCGGTTGGGTTAATGCTAAACTGCAGGAGAACAGCCCCACTGGCCTCACTCTCCCTTGCTGGGAGGTTTTCTCCTGTCTGGGAAGGAGGAGAGGGTGGGGAGGGGTGGTGCTGGACTCTGGCCACTGCTGGAAAGGAGCTCTGCAGCCAAGAGGCCTCAGCCTTGCCACGGGGCCAGGACCAGCGGCGTCCACACCACCCCTTGGCATCGTCAATGCTGCTTCCCAGCTGCTTGGCAGCAAGAGGGTCTGCTCCCCTGGGCCAGCCTGGCAGTGTGGAGGATGCTCCCACACCAGCAGCACTCACCCACTGGCTCCTGCATCACCCACAGGGGAGGTGCGGAGGCCATTCAGAGTGGTGGGATGCACAACAACTCCCCCCAGCCTCACCCTTGCTTTGCTTGGTTGTTTTTCAAATAATCCCATCCACAGCACTGTGTATGGCCCAGCCCAGCTCTGAGGCGGTAGCTGGGCTGCTGTCCCTACGTGCAGTGGCAGGGTGAACACAGCAGTCCTTGGCTGCCAGCCCCATGGGTGGGTGAAGGGTTTGGGACCACAGCGGCTCAGGTGAAAACCCACTGGCACGGCCCCAGTAAACCTCACACAGCCCACATCACTCTCCTGTCTCTAGGGCCAGGATGGATAATTTGCCCCTACAGATTCAAGCTGCATCTCCGCCAAGGGAACAACTCGCCCCCTCTCTGTGCTGGGAACATGTTGCTGATGTGACTTTTCTCCTGCCAGCGCCAGCTCAGATAGAAACCATTCCCAAACCCAGATGCTGGCAAACCAGCACAACTCCACTGTCCCCAAGGGCACATCCCGCTCCATTGCATCACCCAGATGGGCAGCTGCCACCAGCACACGCAGTGGCTCTGCACCCAACATCTTTCCATGGCCATTTCCCAGTAGCATCCGTACGTTGGGACATCACACTGCCTGTTGTGTCACAGCCCCTTTGGAAGCAATGGCCAAAAAGTAGGGGCACATGGGGACACAGCCGGGAAGTTCCTTTGCCTGGGGGAGTGCCTGAGCAGTAATATTCCCAAGGAGGAGCGCACACAGGCACACATGGACACTGCAGCACGCAACGGAGACGCTCATCTGGCCCTTAAGCTGTTCCCCCTCTCTCCCAGCTCCTACCTGCTCTTGTCCACAGCATCCTGCTCGTCCATCTCGTCCGCGCTGCAGGTCGCGCTGGAGTCGCTGTCAGGGTTCACCCCGGGGCCTTTACTGCCCTTATGGCTCTCCTTCTTCTCAGCCTTGGGCGTCCCCTCTGTCCCCGCTGTCCCTGCGCTGCTGACGCTGCTTTCCGCCTTCTTGTCATTCCCCTTGTCCTTCTCCTGGCTCTCTTCAGTCTCCTCCTTCTTCACCTCGCTCTTGCAGGGCTCCTCGCTCACCTTCTCCTCCGGCTCCTCCGTTTTCACCACGTCCACCACCAGGTCCTCTGGCACCTTCTCCTCGCTGCTGGGCGGCTCGGGAGCTGCCTCGGGCTGGGGGCTGGTGGCAGGAGCGGGGTTGGCAGGGGGAGCAGCGGGAGCGTCGGGGGGTGTTGGAGCCTCTTCCCACTTGACCGCTGGTTCTGTGCCGGTGTCACCTCCCGGCCCGGGTGGTGCCTTGGCCCCGTTTTCGCCTCCTTCTTTGGCTTCAGGCCTTGGCGAGGGAATGCTCTCGGTGTCGGAGCTGTTATTTACTGCAGCTGAGAAAAGGGAAGAAATAAAAATAAGGATCAGCCCGAGATTCTTGCTTCCCATATCACTGCCTCCACCCCCTCCCTTGGGAAGAGAACGCCCTCGTTCCTCTGAGGGGGAGATGATCCCGGGGCTGGGAGAGCTGCACTGGGATCCCCAGATCCAGAGCCTACTAAGCAAAGGGATGTTCTGGGGGCCTCTCTGCTTGCCCAGCATGATTATTAACCCCCACCCAAACACAAAACCACACGCCCAAAAGCCTGGACACCAAGCGACTGGGAAGCTGGATTTTAAGGGAAAACCATGGCTGCTGGCTGGACTTGCAGGACAAGACCTGCTCCCTCCCTGCCCTCTCACCCGTGGCTCAGGATCAGCTCTGCTGCCCCAGGACCGGGCACCTCGCTGGCACCCTGCTTGCTGACTTACGTCGCCCGTGTCCCTGGCTCTGCCACCCCTGGGGCAGCTGGGATCATCCCAAAACACCACACGTGTTTGTTGTTGTTTAAGCCACTGGTGGCAGAAGAAAGGAGGTCAGGGTCAGCAAAAGCAAAGCGCTGGCAGTGCTGCAGGACAGGTTAATTATTACACGGGAAGGATCCTTCTCAAGTCTGCCACCAGTGGATTGACGTGAGCTGGAAGCACAAGCATCCGTGCACCGCTCAGAGTTCGGTGCTGCCAAGAGATTGTTTCTACAGCTGGGGAGAGGATTGCTCCCTCCAAGCCTTTGCCGGACAAACACGGTCAGGGCCAAGAGCACCAGGAGATTTCCACGGTCCCATCCCAGCACGTCCCCACTGGGCAGGGCTCTCACGCTCATGCCCAAAGGCTTCCTTGTGTGCATTCCCTGACTTGCCTCTCTTCACAGCAGCACAGCCAGCTCAGCGCTGGTGAGATGAGTGGCACAGAGGGACTGTGTCCTAAGAGCTGTACATCAGAGCACATCCATCCCTCCTCAATGAAAAATCACGCCACACTCTCCAGGAATCAGCCTTCTACAACCTTACTCACTTGCAATCAAGCAATTAGGTGCCCTGTTACCCACCCAGGACAAGGTTCACAGTGTGTTTGGCCATACTCTGCCACTTGATGCTACTCTGAATACTGTGCTGAAACACCCAATGGCAGTTCATCCCAGGCTCAACCAAGCTCTGAACTCCAGTGCACTCCCTCCAGACGCCAAATCCACAGACTACACCATAACCCCCACACCAAGTCCTTCCCCCCGTCCCTGGCCGGCCACATGGGCCCTGCAACTCTAAGGTATTGTCTGAGCATCCCCAAATGTGCCCTCAGAGCCAGTGGCCATCTCCTGCACAACACAATCCTAGCATTTCTGTGCCCATTACATTTTATCCCTATGTATATAATACATATTATATACATGCTCATGCCTTTCCACAGCTCTGCAGCCAGCCCCAGCAGCAGAACGAGAGCCAATGCTTGGAGCATAAGGCTCGAGAGCATGTCAAGAGATTCGTCTCTAATCTCAAAATCACATTGTTTCCTCTCAGGCACTCTTACGAAGAGCAGTAACTACCTTTTGCTTTGCTCCTGTGAGTCACGTATCACCTGGCACAAAGATTTACCTGGAATCTGCCTTGTAATGAGTCACTTGCAACGACAATTTGAAAAGATTTCCCATTTCAAGTCCCATCAGCCTGGGTGCTAAGGCCAGGAACCAGTGTGGTGCCATAGTGCTGGTTAAGTTATTAAATTACTTTGACAGAAGTCAAATGGGCTATTGTTGGAAAATTGTGCACATTTTCTCTGAACTCCAAACTGCCTCGCTTTCTAAGCGATAAATAGCTGAAAATTGTCACTTTCAAGTTGTTTCCTTTCTTTGGTATGGTTGAGATGGAGGAAAATGCTACCTTAAAAGGGAAAGAAGGAGGAAAAGACCTGCCATGCTGCATCAGCCTTGTTGGTGGGAGACCATGGCTTTCCCTGCCTTTGCTGCAGGGCTGGGCTCTGGGAACTCCACTGACCAGGGAAGCAGCAATGCCCTGCCGGGATGGAGATGGGTTCGCAGAAACCTTGACCACTTATCTCTCCTTGAGCCCATGATAAGCTCTGTGAAAGCCCACACTGGTGGCTGTCTAACCCTGCTGAGCACGCAGGGATTCTCCTTTGGAGGAAAACTTCTAGAAATGTGATTTACAAGAGGCCCTGGGAAGCTGGGTGCTCTTGGAGAGCGTGCTGACAGGAATCAGAAACCAAAGGGCTCCCAAAAATAGCCATCTGTCCAGACAGACACAGGAGGAGGGCAGTGATCCAGGGCACTCCTCGCAAGTGTGAAATGCAGAGGCATCCAAAACGCCACGAGTGCCTTGTGCTATGAGACACCGTTGCCTCAGTGTGACCTTGGGGTGACAGACATGACCCCTTGCGAGTGCTGACATTTGCAGCTCCGGAGAGGCCGTGTGTGGCGCCTCTGCCGTGACCAGGCAGCAAAGCCAGCAGAGCTGAGCACATTCCCCCATCACAGCCCCCAACCCGCCTCACCTTCCGCCTCCTCCGCCATCTCCTCCTCGTTGCCGCTCGTCCCTGACACCTCCATCTCCTCATCCTCAGCTGCAGGAGGGAAGGCGGCTTCTTCGTTTTGAACAGCAGCACCTTTTTTCTTCTTCCTCTTGGCGTTCCTTTCTTTCTCCTGGGGAAGAGGGAGAGGATGGTGAGAGGCAAAGCCCATGGAGAGCCGTGTGGGAACAGAGAGCACCAGTCCTGACCAAAGGGCCAAGACGAGTGTTCCCACCACCAGAGACCCCCTGCCCTGGGCAAACCCTCTGAGTATGAGTCTTTGGGACCAGACTCATCAGCTGAAAGCCCAGCAGTGTGGTGTTACCTGGCCAAAAAATTTTGCCAGCCTGGCTCCAAATGGAGCTCCACCCTCAGGCAGCAGCGAGCCTCCATGGGAAGGATGGCACGGACACGTGGACAAGGGACCACCACGCAGAGATCACCAGTGCAGGGCTGGCAAGAGCCCAGGGGTCCTGTGTGCGGTCATTACACGTGTGTGACGTGTTAGTCCTGCGCATTTCCAGGCTCTACCTTCAGCTACACATACGCGTGTGGCCGCGACCTGACGCTCATCTGCAGATAACAAAGCTGATGCCCCAGATACAGCCCAGCCAACATTTTCACGCACCAGCTTTCATGACCCCTTTGGCAGGTGCTGCCAGAAGGACTTTGACTCCCATGCCAGGGCAGCTGTCCCTGATGAAAGGTGGGGGTGCTCCGTGCAGCACTGCATCCCAAAGGGGAGATTCCTGGTGTCCTGCCCTGCCCCAAGACAACCCTGTCCTCCCTTGCTGGGGCACGTGCCACAGCCACGAGGGTGTGGGCAGCTGCTCCCTCCTGCAGACCTAAAGGAAAAGTCTCGGCTTTGCTATTGTTTCCTGCTCTTGTTGCTTGAGTAAATATTACCAGTAGGAACAGGCTCATCATCTCCGGCTCTCCCTGCAAACCCCACATGAGTGACGTGTGTAGGACGTTTATTTACATGGATGAAAAGATAAAGCCGTGGTGGAAACATTAACTTTGCTGCTGGATCTCTGTGCTGTGAAGAGCTGGTCCCCCCCTCCCCCCACCCCCAACTTTTCAATCCTTTAGAAAACTTCCAGATAAAACAAACAAATACAACTGCTTTTTGCTTGGAAACGCTGCTTGCTCAAAATCTATTTTTATCAAACTGGGCAGGAGAGAGGGGAAAAAAGACACTTGAGAACAGGCTCTGTGCAGGCGCAGAGAGGCGGCGGGAGGAAGGCCGGGCCCCGCGGTTCCCTCGCCCTGTGCTGGCACTGCCGGCGATGCCCCAGTGCTGCCGGCGTTCGCGCCTCTGCCACGGCAGCGATTCAACAACCGCACGTTTCTGTGTGAAGCAGCAGTTCCCCATCACGCTAATGCGGTGACAAAGCGCCGACGTTACTATGGCAAAGACTTCTCTGCCTCTTACTCACGGGTCCGTGACTCAGCCGCGGGCAGGAGCGGGCTCCTCGCTGTGGGAATTAGCTGGGAACCAGCCTCTGCCTCAGCACCCTGCTTGGCCAGAGCCCGGGGCTGGCAGCTGCTGGCAGAGCTGAGCAGGGAGCGGCCCCGGGGGCACTGTGGGTCCCTCTCCCGGTAGACCCCACTGCTGGTACTTAGGGAGAATGAAATCCAGGCAGCAGATCCTGGCTACATCTAGAGATACATTCAAGGCCACCACTTTGCCACTTATCATGCTGACAGCTCCAGATCCCTTGAGCAGTCTTGCTCCCTGTACCCTGCCCAGGAAAGGGCCTCATCCTGCCCTGCCTCTGTCAGTAGCCCCAGGGCCCCTATGGTTGGCATGGGATCCTAACCACAACTGTGTTGGACACGGAAGTGTCTCTGTGAGCCATGCCTGGAACCAGGCATCTCCCATCATAACAATGTGATTGCCAGCGAGGCCGTGGGAAGATGCCAGGACCATTTGCTATGGTCACACTGATGCTTATTTTGTGGCTCTCTACCTTCCACAGGTATTTCTTTGGGAACATCCAGGACTCGGTGCCACTCAAGCATTCTGCCTTGCCAAGACCACTGAGGAGAAGTGCTGTGCACAGTGAGGACACCAAACCCTGCACGAGGGGTCACTCCATGCTTCCTCCTCCATGACGTCTTTCCAGGCCATCCTGACAAACTCAGCCTCTCCTTGCTCTCACCACCTGACACGACAGCAACTGCCCAAACAGTTTCCAAACCCTGCTACCAACACAAAACCATCATGATGGGAACCTCCCATCAGCTTCAGCCTGTCCAAAGAGCAGAACCAGGCAGTCCCAGCCTGGTATCACACAAAGATGTGTGTTGGCAACCGTGCCAGGACTAGGTCCAACTCCCGTGCTCTGCCGCGGGAGCAGCTGACAGCAATGGGCAGGGGCAGAGCAGTGACCCTGCAGAGGAAGGACCTCTCTGCCACTGCAGTGAAGAGGGTCTCAGTTACCCATCCTAAGAGCAAGGGTCTGCACCAAGGAAAGACAGACACATTCATCACTCAGAAGCAGAGGCCACCAGACTGCGCTCCCAAAGCAGTTTTGCTGTGCAAAGCCAGCATCACCTAAAAAAGCAAGGAATTACAGAAATGTTGCTCAGAGGAGGTCCAAAAGATTGGTTCTCCAAGCAGGACCAGCCCCAGCACAGGGAATAGCTTGCCCTCTTTCCTGCACAAGCCAAAACAAGCCCCAGCAGACACAAGCCTAAAGTGACAATGACACTGCAGAGAGGTCCTGGTGAAGACGGTGCCTAACCTCCAGCCACTAACAGAAAGAAGAGCTCTGAGAACACCGTGTATCCCAATGCCCTGCTTTCCTTAAATGCTGAGATTAGTGAGCGCAGCGTGCAGAAGGTCAAGGCTAAGTGACGCTGATGCCTTGGACACATCCGAGCTGTGCGGCAGCAAAACCAAGCCAAAACACACAACAGGCCAGATAAAGCGAAGCCTCAAGGTGGCCTGACCCTGCCCCAACAGTCATAGGCTGCCTGTCCCACGGTGTGGCCGGCTGGCAGGGACACCCTGAGCCACGGGTGTCTGCTTCCCATCCCACACCAGCCACTGCCGCCGGCCTGGCCGCACAGCTCATCCGAGCCACCTGCACCCTGCGGAAACCTGGTGTCACACCTACCTGGAAGAGGAGGCTACAATATTAACGAGTCCCACTTGGGAAATGAATGAGATCTACTAATTAAGTTTACTCTCATTAAGCAAAGAGGAGGAAAAGCAGAGCCACTGCGTTTCCCTGCACATGATCAGCGATAGCTGGTGGGGATGAGGTCAGGGAATCATCTGTGGATGCCATGGCAAAACTAAGCGGTGCCACACTGCCTCGCCACGTGCTTCCTCCACAGAGGTCATGGCTGAATTGGGTATAGGATGAGATTTGAAGGCTCACTTTGCTTGGGAATATATTTAGGAGTCAGGAAGGAAGGTCTATGGCAATTTAATCTCAGTTGTTCTTTCATTTTGTTCAGCTTTCTGGCATCTGCTGTTGCCACAAAACAATAGAGTACAATAAATAACAGCTGAATGTTCATTGTTCTTCTCCACGACCGAATCCCACAGCCTCCAATGCTCGAAAAATAAAATGATGATGCTGATATAAACTGCAAGTGAGAGTGAGCAATTAGACTGGAGAAGTCTAGCGGCTGCCTTGGAGGGACGGATGCAGGGAAAAATGTGGTTCTGCAGAAAAACACTTCCGTGATATAATTTCTGCAACATTAGGGAGCAGAGTAAATTAATACACACCGGCTCCACTGCCAGCAAAGCTGTATGATCTTATTTCAGATTCTCTCCGGTAATGAACAATGATATCTTTCTAATGTAACTTTTTATATTCAGAGGGCTTGATGCACATTTCATTCCAGTCTTTATATGGGTCTGGGGGTCTTTTACATAGTTTGTTTGCTTTGTTTCTAAAAACAATTTGGTGAAACATGGGAACACAGGAGTGTCTCTGTGCATAAAGAATTAATAAAAAAGAATCGCCGATGTCTTCTCTTTCTCTCATTCCTATAGACTGACTAGGATATTAAATTCCTGGGTGAGTCATTGAATGTTTTCCTGTCTTTCTTTTTACTCTTGCTGTAATAGCTTGCTTGGAGAGATTCCTGCATTGAACATTGTCCTTTGCATTTTCAAAGCACCCCTTGGGGGTTTAGCCATGTGAATTCTATTAGCCAGAAACTGGGAACCCCAGGATACTCTACAAATGAAATAATTATAATCTTTAGTGGCTCTTAGCAGTCCGAGCTATCTCCAGAACACCAGACAAGCCCTGCTTCACTCACGCCCTGCACCACACGCCAGAAGAGAAGCAGCATTAGCCCCTTCTGATGGGGAAACCAAGGCACAGAGTGATGTGGGCATCTGCTCACAGCCCTGAAAACAACCAACACCTGTGTCGGGACCAGCCTTTCCTCATGTTGTCCTAAATCCCTGCATTTCTCTGAGGCAAACCGACAATTTACCATTTAACTGAGGAACCTGCAAGGCACAGAGTCGCGTGGCCCAGCCAGGCTCTCTGCTCACCAGGGCGGAACAGCACAACCTCACCGAAGTATTTGCGCAGCCAGGACTGAGCTCACGTCCTGGCCAACACACCATAGCCTGCTCCTCCTCCTGCTCCTTATCTCCCCACAGAGAGGGGAGATACCAGCCATGCTCCAGACACCCAGGCATCTCCCACACAGCAGCTCTGCCTCCTCCAGACCTCCCAGGGACAGACGGGTGGACAACCCTTTCCCGCACCACTCTGCAGTCCCCACAGCTTTCATTCAGGAAGATAAAAGCCCCCCCCTTGGCTATGGGAAACATCCAAGCACTTCCTAGGAAATATCCACGGTGCCCTGATGTGGGCTGGGACGGGGCTCTCACCATTTTCAGTTTGTGCTGCTGTAGGATCTCGTCCAGGTTCTGCCTCTTCTTGTAGTTGAAGTAGAAGTTTTTGCACTGCGACACGGTCTTGGAGCCCACCATCCTGGCAATGGCCGACCAGTTCCTCCCATGCTCAAGGAGACCTGTGGTTGGAGGAGGGAGAAAGAAGGGTTTAACACCAGATGCGCTCATACAAGGGCAGCATTATCCACGCAGGATGGGAAACATCCTCCGTGCAAGCCAAACTCCACAGGAACAATACGGTCACTAGCACCTGTCTGAATGGCTCCTAGGCCAGGGGATGACCTATGAGAGCCTGTTTTTCTTTCCAAGGGGAAAAAAGGCACCATGACGACCGCCTCTGGAATAAAATACATCCCACAGGCATGCCTCGGCCAGCCACTGGGCCATCACGAGGATGAGCAGTGCTTCCTTCCCTTTGGCACGGCCGCAGGAGGTGGTGGCACATCCAGCAGAACTTGGGACAGCTGCTCTCAGTCCCTACCACAAAGCAAAGGATCTTCCCATCGTTCCTACCCCACTGACAATTTCAAAAGGTGTGACAAGTCCAGGGGGTCGGAGCACACAGCCCTGTTATGGATGGGGAAGGAGAGCCCAGGCAGGTGAGTGTCAGCGCGCTCCGGCAGAGAAGTCCCTGGCTGGGAAGAGGCGTGCCGAGGGATTAGTGCTGATCACAGGCTCATGAGCAAAGGCAGCTTCCCAGGTCAGGCATCATGCCAAGGGCTGGCAATCCTGGCCAGATGGTGCCACCCGAGCATGGGGCTCCTGCCAGCGCTGGGGCAACCCAGCAGGGTGGAGGAGGAAAAGGAGGAAGAAGGAGCCAGTCAGCACCCTGTGTCCTTGTGGTCTCTGCAGGGGTGTCTGAGCACCCCTCATCCTACAGCTGGAGGTGGGAATCACAACCACAGCCCAGGGATGCGTGCAGTGGCACCCTGGTCCCTCCACTGGAGGCTCCTGGAGGTGACCTGGGAAAGGGCCATCCAGGCTTTCTGGAAAATAACACCTCACTGCCTGGAATTATTCCTGGTGTGTGGCTGGTCCTTCCTGTGGTGTCTGGTGGGGCTGGAACCGCCACCAGCCTGTGGGACACTGCTGGCCTGGCTGGCTCCTGGCTGTCCACGTGATGCCACCATCAGGCCAACAGCCCCACCAGCCTTCCCCCGCACCTTGTGAGGACACAGAGGCTGTGAGCCCATGGGCACTACCACAAAAGGTAACTTCAAGAAGAAAACCAAGAGGGAATGAACCTGCTACGAGCATCTTCCTCCTTTGTTGGGGGATTTTCTGACCAGAAGCCCCAACCACAGAGCGTGGGAACGGGCACTGACCACTAGGTCCATACCCAACCCCTCCTTGGCTGTTCTAATGCCATGGGGCTCAGGACCACAGTGAGTCCCACACTGGAGCTCCCGTGTGTGGCTCTGTTTGTGTCTGGGAATGTGGCAGCTGTGCCACAGCCCTGCTGCCAGCCTCCAGCCAAGCTGCTGCCATGTGTCACTTCTGAGCCCCAGGCTGGTCCTAAGTGCCAACCCAACCTCTGTTTCAGCCCAAAAACAAACCTCAGGGACTTATCTCAGTGCAGCCACAGGCAATAGGGCCCAAGGGATGCACCTCTGGCAAGGATCTGTGCTGTGCCCCTTGCACAACGTGGAGGCTGAGGGTATGGCTGGATTGAATAAATGGCACTATATACCCACAGAGAGATGAAACCCCCCTCCCTTCCCGCTTCCCAGCTCCTGGAGAAAACCAGCAATACCCAGCACAGCAGGAGTTAACATCCAGCCAGTGCCTGTATCCTGCCCGTCCCAGCACCAGGCTTATCAAATTGCATGTACAAGGCATCTCACGCGCTGAGCACCAGAAGGGCCCTGGCAAGCCAAGAAACAAGTTTGAGCTTTAACTCTGCAACTCCCAGCCTTGCTCAGCCAAACCCACGACCTCTGTCACCCCACTGGTGGTCTGGGACTTCTTTAAAATAATAATAGATTTTAAAAAAAATCACATCCGGCCACCAACTGTGAGGTAACGAGCGGGGCAGGAGTCCTCCCCCCACCGCTGCTGAACGCTGCAGGGGAAAACAGGACAGTCCCCTGTGTCACAACCCATCCCCTCTGACACAACCCACTGCTGCCGTCCAAAGCAAACAAGCAGCTCTGTCCCTCTGCTCATCGCCACGCTGGTGGCCCAGCACCAAGTGTGACAGCCGGGGCCAAGGCTGATTGCTGCACCCCGGGCAAAGCCCCAAAATAAAGACACTGGCAGCGGTGTGGATGTGCCCTGAGCTCCAGTGCTAACGCGGGAGAGATGCCACGCAAAGGGACCTGCCATGGCAGAGCTTGGGACTGGGGGGGTGATGGATGTCAGTGTGAGTGGTCCCCAGCATGGTGTGACCTTTGCCAGCCACAGGCAATGCCAGCTCCTGGCTGCCCTTCCCGCCGCCCAGGCTGGCTGTGTCCCTTCTCACCAGGACACTGCCGGAGGTGCCTGCAGCTGGCCGGGCAGGTGGCCCATGCTGGGCTCGGGAAGAGGAGGAGGCGGTTGCCTGCAGCCCCTGCCTGCAGCCCCTGCCCGCAGGACCAGCAGGGAGCCCGCCTGCTCTCCTCTTTTTGTATTAAACCAGAGCAAAACAGCAACACCTGCTTCCCACACTGTAGTTATCTGCACACTCGGAAGGGACCAGTCAAGACACCCCATGACCTGCCAGTAAGATCCTGGCTCGCCAGGTACCTCAGTTCCATGAGCTCTGTCAGCACAGCTGCCCCCAGTCCCTGCACCCCCAGCCTCTGCCCCGCACTCCCTGACACGCCAGCCCTGCAAGGCAGCAGCCAGCCCGGCACGCCAGCCCGCCTCGGCACCACGCAGCCCTTCATTCCGCATCGCAACTGAAACTATGACTAACCGAGTTATCAGATCCTCAGGAAGGCTGTGCTCCTCGGCTCGGGGCGGGGGCTGCGGACGCAGGGTCTGCCACAGGCAACTACACACAATCTTGAGGTTAACCCCATCCTTCGGACCCCAACACCCGACTTACGTGCTCGGGCTCCGGCGGGCAGGGAGCGCACCTGGAGTGTGCAGCGGGTGGGCTGGGAAGGACACGGGTGTCAGGGCACTTCTTCAAAGCCCCCCCAGGCACGGCAGCCCGCTGCAAAGCGCCGCGAGTGCTCCGCTCACACCCTCCCCACGCATTTCGCTTTCGCTCCCTCGCAGCAGCCGGAGACAGAGAAGAAAGCAAAGCCGGTTCCTTAAATCCTGGGGGCGAAAGGATTTCAGAGCCATGGGCGGCTGGGAGCGGCGAGCAAACGGGCACCGAGGCTGGAAACCAGGTCACAGGCGGCAGACTCCTGACCCCGATGGCAGAAGTTGGTGGGAACACATGCTCCGGCCCCAGCGCTCTTCCCTCTGGAGCGAACAGCGTTCTCCGCTCTCCTCCTGCTCGCTCGCCGGAGCGTTCCAGCCGTCTGCAGCCGCGGTTGTTAAGGTGGATGGAAGCGACGCCAGTATTTTCTCCCCTACCTCACCTCCTTGCTCAGCAGCTTGGGGCTACGGGGAGGCTGTGCAGTTTCAGGAGATGCCCGACGTTGCCAAGAAATAATAATAATTAAAAACAAACAAAAAAAGGCAGGAGAAAGGCGAAGGGGTGGGAGCGCGGCAGCTCCGCTCCTGCCAGCCCGGGGACGGGGAGCCGGTGCCGTCGGTATGTGGCGGAGCAGCGAGCAAGCTCTAATCTGTTCCTCTGGCTGACCCGGGGCTCGTTGCATCTGAATGTGACCTCTAGACAGAGCATTAATAACGAACGTGGCGCTGACCCAAGCTGACAAGGGGTGCGGCGCTTGGCACCCGCTCCCGCCCTCCCTCGCTCACTTTCTGTCTCCCTCGCTCTCGGCTGAATGTCAGCAGCAGGGGGAGGGATCCAGGAAAACAAAGCTTGGCTAATAGTTTTCTCCGCTCTCAAGTGAATCAAAGGCGCTTTTCTTTAGAGACGTGCGCGCCGGCGAGCCCAGTGCCGCACCGATGGGGTGCCGTGGTGCCCCAGGACACCTCGGCCCTGCAGCTGCTGCCCTGGCAGAGGAGGGATGGGGAGAGGTTTGGCACCGGTCTCGCCATGGGCGGACCGGGGCTTCTGCTCCTGTACAGCAAGCGGAGACTGGAAGGAAGAGGAACAGGGTACTGTGCTCGGCGTCTCGGGGAACAGAGAAGAAACCCGGAGGGGCAGCGTGGCGGGCGAGGGCCGTCGGCTCGCACCCCCTTGGCTTTTTTGCAGTTGGGTTTTTTTACCAGAGCCATTTCAAGGCTTTCTGGCACAGCCACCCTGCTCCACCCAGGGTTTGGTGAGGGTGGAGAAAGCCCGTAAAAGGGTCCCTTAATGGGAGTTTGCGTGGATTACAAGGTTATAGGGGAAAATCTAAATGATATCATTCCCTACACCCGACGGTACCTGGTATGATGCTCCAGTATCTCCTACACCCACACACCCTCTTGGGAGTGGGGATGGAGGCAGTTCTGGCCACACCACAGCCAAAATGTGCCGCAATCCCATTCCGGAGAACGACCAGCACTACTGAGTCAGCAACACCACCCAGGGCATCCCGAAAGCATGGTCGGCACCACTTTCCCGCACTGACCTCGGGGTGGTTCGCAGCGTGTGGGAGAACCAAGGCACAGGGAAGGTGAGTAAATTCTCCAGGGCCACAGATCAGTGGGTGGCAGAGCCAGGTGCACGCCAAGCTCCTGATGCTGTGCCAAGGGAAGCAGTGGAGACGGGGCGTGGGGGGCGAGCCCACACCCCTGCAGGCGCTGGGGGGTTGCTGGAGGGACCGCGGCACAAGCAGCTGGCTCAGTTAGCTCTCACTACCATGGTGGGGGATGCCCTTCCTTCCTTGGGAAGGCAATGCTGGAACCAGCCTGCCGCATTCCCAGTGGACCTCTCCTTTGGCAGCTGGATACAAGCAGGTCTCTGATGTGCCCCATGGCTACAAGGCAGCTTGGAGCTGAACTCCCCACCAGTTTTCACAGCCACTCTGGAGGGAGGCAGTGCCACCAAAAAAGAAGTGGGCATGGAGCTGGGCCCCCTGACCAGCTCAGCCCTTGTGCCATATTCCCTCTCCTCTATCCCTGGCTGGGGACCTTCAGCTCCCAGGTCTTCTCTTTGAAAGAGACGGTTCCAGGACCGTGGCATCCACCTGCTGCAAAACATTAAGCCCTGTGCCCTGATCACAGACCTGTCTGGCTTTTCTACTCCTATCACAACCTTTCTTTTGTGCTGTACCCCCATCATTTGACCAAGGGAGGGGACAGGAAGTCCCACCTGGGATGCCCGCTCCCTGAGAGGTGGCATCACCTCCTGTCCAGCTGGGACACTCGGGTCTCCAGCGCATGGCAGGGAGCACACACTGAGCAGCCACTGCTGGTGGGCCCAGCTCTCTCCCTTCACCTGGTTCGGATATTATTCCTGCTCCCTTATTGTTGAAAAAATAATGCTCAAAATTAAAATGTAGGCAGCAAATTATAGTAATTACCCAGCAGTTCCTCCTGACAGGCCTTTTGTGTTCCATTCACTGACACTCACTAGGCAAATCCTCACAGTTTGCTCCTACACACTCGAAAAATGTTCAGCCAATGGTGTCAGAAAGCGCAGCCCCAGAGGCATGACAGGCAGCAGCACTACAGGCATGGCCCTGGGAGTAACACCTTGGCTGAAGTGCAGCCAAGCCCCAGCCTGGGATGGCAGGGATGGGACTGCAGCTGACCACAGCCTCATCCAGGGTAAGTGGGGCTAATTCAGACCTTGGATGCAGTTTTGCCCTCGTGGCACCCAATCTGCCCCATCCCAGTCATTTCCAAATTTGTACAAACTTGATGGCAAGCACATGCTGGCACTCTGGCTGTGGGCACTGGAATGGGGAGGTTGGTCTGTCCTTGCTCTGGGCTTCCCTTGCACCCAGCCTGGATAGAGGACACCTGGGTGGAAAACCCCAAGGCACATCCCACCCCCAAGGCCAGCCAGAGGGACAACACGCAGTGACCAGCACGGGCTGCAAACCAGTTTCTCCAGCCCACTTTTACTGCCATCAGCAGGTTTTTACTGTTGTAAATATCTCTCATGGGAGAGGGGAAGGCTCCAACATGAACACAGGGGAGACTAAAGGAGGAAGGTACAGAGCTGCCAGCTCCCCAGCATCACCTGTGCTGCAGCCAGCTCTTGGTGTGGGGAGGTGGCTGGCTTCTGACACGGGCTTTCCTGTCACTGGGTTTGGTTGTGGCTTAATTTGAAGAAATCAGTATTTTAAAAAAAGAAAAAATCTACTTTATTTTAGTTTTGTGAACAGAGTGGGACTGGGGAAAAAAATGGTTCATATCAGTCCAAAACTCAGATGATTTATTGGCAGCACTGAAAATCAGCCTTCGAAAGAGTGCCTTTGGCATTCAAGGGAATTTTTTACAGCTACCCAAAAGTAACTATTTGTGCCCAGCTCTCCTCTGCCTCATCATAATGACTCCATCCCATGGCCTTTCCATGTTCTCAGCCTGGGAAAAGGCATAAGGAGCCTGAGGTTGCCTTGAGGACAAGGAGCACAGAGCCCGGGCAAGGTGCAGGAGGACCTTGGCAAGAACCTGCCACTTCCACCCGCCTCTCTTCAAAGAACAAAACCACTTGTTAGACACCTGGGGGAAAACCCCGAGCGGGGCGAGAACAGATACCAGACTTTAAAGACTAACAAAGGTCATGTCGAAACCTCCCGGTTCATGGAGTTCAGCTCCAGCGCTATCGCAGCTGCTCTGCAGTGCTGCCACAAGCGGTGACACTCGGTGGAGGGGCTGGAGGGGACAATAAACCCACCCACTGCTCCGGGCTGGCGCTTGCCCGCTGCTTGCAAACTCCCAGCCTACCTCGAACTCCTGCCTACGTGGACTCCTCCGGTGGGTCCCCCAAAGGCAGGAGCTGCCTAAACATTGCCTTTTAAGGAGCAGCCCCATCCCGCTGCTGAATGCCTCTGCACCCTGCCCGGCGGCAAAGCAGTGGGTGCTGCCCGCTTCCCAGCTTGGGAAGGGAAGGGGGAAATCCTCCAGCAACTCCAGTTAAATCAAAACCCCCTGCTATAAGGATCACAGCCGTGGCGCAAGGAGATAACATCAGAAAAACACCTTCCCCCACCGTTAAACCAATCTCTGCACATTTTGACTGACTACTGAATCGAATTTTATTGCGTAATAAAAGTGTCATTAAGCAAGAACTTTCCTCTTGCTGGGTTTTGGTTCCCCTATTTAAGTTTAATAACATGGTACTCCCCTTTACTGTCTCTCCCGGCAGAAACAGTCCTGCCTTCTCCTGATTGGAAACTCCCTGTGCAGCTCTGTGACTGTGGAGAACAGGCGACTCTGGTGTGTCTCCCTGTCCTAGAGCTGTTTTCTCTCACCTCCCTGAGCACAAATGACAGGGGGTTTCATGCCACGCACAAAAAACCTGAGGGCTGACAGCAAGGCCCGGCTGATCTCCCACCTGGCAGGTGCTGGGAGCAGCAGTCACCCTCCCCATCTGCCAAAACACCCCAGGGTGGTAGGGCTGACTTTCCCTGGGACTCACATCTTGCTTGTTTAACTCCCTAAACCAGCCAGCTACGGGTTCTGATTGGTACCAGTACAGGGAGGAGTGTGGCTGGGGCAGCCAAGTCCTTATGGTGAGGGGACGGTGCCCACGTCGTTGAGCCCACCCGGTGCAGGCCACCACCTCCTCTGCCCCTGCCAAGCTGTGCTGGCAGCAGGCTCTGCTGCCACCTCCTCCAGCCTCTGAGATTACCTCCGGAGTTTCACAGTCACTGTGAGTCGGAAACCCCCACCACGCCGGTCCCTGGAAATGCCAGACAGAGCCAGTTCGAAGCATTAAAGCGGCTGCTTCCTGGCAAAGGGGAATTTGGCTTTTCTGTAGAAGTCTGGTGTTGCAATCTCAGTTTCCCAGGTTGTAACGAAGGGGGAAACATCAGCCATTGGGCTTCATACCAGCAAATCTCCCTGCCTCCTCCTGGCCCCTGGGCTGGAAGAGTGCTACGTGCTCCCACGCTTCATCCTTCCTTCACACAGGCTTTGGCAGCTGCTTTTAAGACTCCTTAAGCGCACCTCCAGCATTCAGCATAAAACAACAAGAGGCACTTTTTAACAACCAGATGCTGATCTCCAAAACAAAGCAGTGCTCGGGAAAGATCCCTCCAATGACCCTCCCCTGCCAGCACCTGCTCGCCCCATAACTGGCCCCCGGCCAGTTTGCTTGATTAAAGTCTATCTATTAAGTTTTGCGACTATAGAGAGCCTCGCTCAGCAACGTGCAGGATTGGCACCGGGTTGTAAAGAGGGTTGGAACAGCTTAAAGGCGAGCGAGCCAAACACTTTGGGATATTCACAGGCAAAGTAATCCAAGTCCACAGCTCCCATCGGCACCTGGGCAGCCGGCGCTCCAGAACGTGTAATCACCCTCCCGGCAGCAGGTGCATTTTCCAAGCAGAGCCGAACTTGCTAACACGCCTGTTTGCCTCTGCCATCCCCGAACGGCACTCATTTCCATTTTAATTTCCCATTTACAATCCTCTCCGGGCCAGGAGAGTCGGCGGCGACGCAAGCGGGATGCACAGGCTGGGGACGTGAGCTCGACAGCCCATCAACAGGACGTGACTTTGGCAAAAAATTAAAGCCCTGAACAAGCTGGCGCGGGAGCGGCACGAGGAGGGGAAGTGGCAAGAAGGTCTGTGCCACACTCAGCACTTTTTAAAAACGGTCTCAGCAAAGGCTCTGAATCAGCTCCAGGATGTAAAGTCACCCCGTGCTGCCCGCAGCCCTGGCTCTCGAGAGCTCCCCAACACGTGCCTGAGGAGTGTTGGGGTTCGCTGGCCTCTCCTTAAATTCCAGAGCTGCGAACACAGGCAGACACTCTCAGTGTGCCTGGAAAAGGTCAAAGCGAAGGCACGAGGCTCCAAAGAGCACTGAAACTACAGGCTACAGGTACCATCAGCTCCAACAAGCAACAGGCAAAGTGCCTTCCCCATTTCCTACAGCCGACTCCTGCCTCGAGGGACACACATGGGCTCCAGCCACAGTCCAGACATCCCTGGTGTTGGCACAGCTCCCTGGGGCTGGAGAAGCTGAGGCACACTCCCCACACCACTGCCTGGGAACAAACCAGCAGCAGGACAGGCAGGATCTGGCCCTGCAGCTCAGGACCCACCAGCCTGCACTGACATCAGCAGTCAGACACCGTCCATCCCCGATTGCTCGGTTAGCTCCAGCACAGCCAAAAGGAGAAAGAAAATAAGTGTCTCACCTTTTTTAGCCGTCTCCATCTCCTCTTCGGTCCAGCGAGAGCTTTCATTCATTTCCAGGGAAGCTGAAAAGGAAGGAGGAGAAAGAGAAGTCAACTGTGAGCACGACCCAGCAAGCCCAGTGAGCTCAGAGGAGGTGTCCCAACACCTAAACCCTGTCCCATGCCCTGTTCCCTGGAGGCATGACAAAACCCCCATGCTGTACAGAAGTGCTTCCACAAGGAAGGCTGTCATGTTGCAGGCTCTTGATGCTTTTCTATGCCACAGCACCCCATGCACAGCATCCCCCTGGGATTCGCCTCGGTGATGCAAAACCTCCACTTTGGGCCTGGAAGCAAAGCCAGATGGCTCGAGGGTGGCAGTAGATTTCCTGCCGATTTGGTGCCACGCACCCTGGCCCAACAACAGGAACCTAAGAGGGAGCCGGCTGTGGCTGTGCTGTGGAGGTGGCAGACACAGGGTGGGACCGTCACCCTCAGCACAGACGGAGAAACAGCGTCACCTCGGTGGAGACTTTGGCCGACTGCATCTGTCAAGGGTGTTGGCTGTGTGTGACTGCGGGCTCCCTCTGTGCCATCACCGGGCTCTTGGACAACAACTCCGAGCCACTTCCAGCAGCGGCGGGGGCTCGCCCGGAGCAGTGCCCATGGCAAGGGGACACGCTGCTCCAGCCGGGAGAGGTGGAAAGGGACGTCAGCATCCGATGCTGCCCCACTCCCCCACCCCAGGCATGGTGCTGGGGACACCAAGGTCCCGCATAAAGCCCTCACTATGCACCAGTCTTGCTGGCAGCCTGGCACAGAGCAAACCCTACAATAACAAACCGGGGGTGTGAGTCAGAGGCAAAAAACAACTCGGTAAGGAAACAGATTTCCGGCTCAGGCTGCCAAGGGGTGATTACTCTAAACAACAGGCAAAGCATTATTTCAACAGTGATGAGAGATGTTTTGACAGTGTCCTTTCAAAATGGAAAACAGGCTGATAGGTCCAGGATAAAGAATACAGGCGAGAAGAGAAGAAAGAATCTCCCAAGAAGCTCTACAGGAAGCTGAGACCCTGTGGGAGGACAACGTGGGCTCTGATGCCCACAGCATTGGGCAGAGGAATCTCCTTCACAGTCGGCTGAGCACGACTGCAGGTGTCACCTCCCAGAAGACAGCGCAGGCCACTGCCTCCCCCAGAAATGCCGTGTCCCCCCTGGAACACCAGCCAAGAGGGAGGGAAATCGATACCTCACCGCTTGCCCCGGCTGCCGGCAGAGCCGGGGCCGCGACACTCGTTTACGTAAAAGTGAGTGTCCCCAGTGCTGTGCCGGCCCTTGGCTCAGCTGGTGATGGCTGTGATTGTATGGTAAAGAAATGTCACAGAAACGGCCCGTTTGGTTTGATTAATGGCAATGACTGAGGTTGCACAGTTATGAAACAGATGCCTACAGGGAGCTCCAGCACGCTGCAGTTAAACCACAATACGGTTTTCTGTTGTTTTTTAATGTTCAATTGGTATTTAAAATGCAATAACTTTCTTAGCCAACCTAAATTAAAGCGCTATTAGAGAGACATAAAGTGAAACCAATTGCTCAGATATGTCACTGGAATTGATCCATTCCTTTTTTCCCAATTTAACATGGTCTAAAGCCTTTTCTCTGTGTTCGCAGTGAAGTTTATCAAGGACTCTGAGATGCTCGGATAAAAAAATCCCAACTAAGTTACTGGCATTATCTGCTGCTTCTCTGCAGCATTGCTGAACAAGTTGAAGGGAGAGAGCAGGGCTCCGTTGTGCTGGGGACTATTTATATCGCCTGTATGAAAACAGAGCGCTCGCAATCAAGGCTTCAGCCAGTTGTCAGCAGAGAACAGGGAGGCGAAACACCTCCGCGTGATTTATAGCACATGGAACAGCACAAGCAAGAAACTGCAGAGCAAGGGAACCGAGAGGAGTCACCCTGCTTTTATTTTTACCTGCCTTAGGTAGCACAGCAATAATTTTGCACTTTGATAAGAGCAGAAAATACAGGACAGGAAAATCATCCAAATTCCTCGATGCATCGGCTTCTCTAAGTCAATACATGAGCTGTTCCCCAGGGTGGACGCTACTGATGCTGCAGATGCAAGAGGTAGATGCACCTGATGTGGGGCTGTGGATGCTGCCATGAATTCCCATCTAGTTCAAGACAGGCATGGTAGCACGGCACGGCTATGGCCAACTGCCACGTGTGGCCACAGGCTGGTGCAGTCCCTGGGTGCCACACTACAGGCAGCACCCTGTGCCTCCTCAGTTACGGGTGGAAACGGACCAGCCCAATGCCCAAAGCCAAGGGGGCACAGACCCCACAGGCTGCAGCTGCTCAGGCTCCAGGCAAATTTAAAAACAGAGGGCAGAACTGGCAGAGACCCAGGCAAGTCTGAGAGGGCAGAGCCAAAGCAGGGGTCTGTGCAGAGATTGAGAGTACTCAAAGCCCGAGAAGCTGCAGAGGGAAACAGCCCCGGGTGCAGGAGGGACACAAGCCCTGCAGGAACCCAGCCAAGGCACTGACAGCTTCCCTTTTGCTCTTTTGCAACACTTTCCCTCTGAGGCCATAAAACCCAGTCAGCCAGGACAGCCTGGGCTTGCAAATGCCCCCACTTAACTGAGTGAACCACACTGAGTAATTCGAGGGATAGAAAAAAACCTCACTTCTGCTCCCCAAAAAAGAAGGATTTCACAAAGGAAACCCCTCCTCCGTGAGCTGGGGGACAGCACAGAGTGATGTCACATCCCAGCACAACAGACACCCCAAAAGCCCTGCCGAGGTGCCCCCGTGCCCTGCCACCTACCCAGCTCTGCGCTCTGCTGCGGCGCAGCCGCCTCCTCGTTGTTGGCTTCGTTGGCCATGGAGCGGGTGATGCGGCCCTTGCGCCGGCCCTGGCTGTTGGCCGTTTTGCGACCTTTGGAGGTGACAGTTTCTTTCTCATCGTTGTCTTCCCCGGACGTGTCGTCGTTCTTGTCCCTGCAAAAACAGGCAGGAAAAAAAAAAAAAACAAAACGTTGTTGGGTTGATCTGATTTTCAGGTCAAGCAATTATTTCTCTGCATGTGTTTGGGGATGCTTCCCCCCCCCCCTTTTATTTTGTTTTGTTGGTCTTTGAGGGGGGGCAGGTCTGCATATTTTTTTTGCAGACGCAAGCTCTTTTCCTGGCCGGGATTGGAGGTGGGGTGATTTGTGGTGGGGTTTTCTTTCTGCAGCTGGCTGCAGCTCCACCACCAAGTGCACGCAGAGACCTGACGGAGACAGGTTTAATACCAGACCATTCAAATTCATCCCTGCCTCCTCCTCATTTATCTTCCTGAAAGGGACCTGCTGGTAAATGTCTTTGCAGCCTAGATATAATGAAGCCAGATGTTCTTTTAAACCAAGTATTAAGCCCATTACAGATAGCGAGCGGTCTGCGTGCCAACCTTTCCCTGCCACGGCACTGATGTTCGGCGTGAGGGAGGCAGGGCTGGCTGGAGCCCCTCATCTGGGAGTGCTCACGTTGACATCAATAACACTAAAGGTGAAGTGCCGCGCTCCACTGCGCCTGGATTGCTCCTCCAGCTCCCAGAGGCTCCCCTAACAACAAAACAGGCTGGAGGATCAGAGGAGCTTTGCAGATTGATTGGGTTGATATAAAAAAAAAGCGTATTGAGTTGCTTTCCCAGTTTGGGAGCAGCAGGGAAGAGGAATGAGGAGGAGGCTCTGCCTTTCCCTCCCTGTGGAGGAGGTAATGTGGGCACACATGATCCTGCACAGGGTCAGGCAGCCCTGGACCACGATGCATCCCACTGTCACATTCCACTGCTGCATCCCACAACCTCATCCCATTGCTGCAGACCCAGCTCAATGCCCAGTTCTCACTGGAGCCAGGCAGGGAAGGTTGTCCTTACTTTGTCAGTTCTTCTTTGTCATTTTCTGTTTCCTGCTTGTCTTCCTCCTTCTCTCCCTCCTTCTCTTTTTCTTTCTCTTTTTCATCTTTTTCTTCTTGGCTGCTCCGGGGCATTTGCTGCTGCTGCAAAACAAGGGACGTAAAATAAACCAACCCCTCAGTGCTGAGGCAGACACATGGCAGCACCTGGGCCAACCCAAACAACCGCCACAAAACAATGCCGGGGGCGAGAGGCCAAGAGGAAAGAGCTGCAGGCAGAGGGTGCAGGCAGGGCACTGCTGGAGGCCACAGGGGCCCAAAGCTTTCCGGGGAGATCAGAGGTAGTTCAGGATCAGCCAAAGCAGCTGCACTCTGGCTCCCGTTCCCCACAGCAGGACAGCCCTGGCAGGTCCCTTGGGATTGGGGAGCGAGCGAGGATCTGATGCAGGGGTAAGGCAGGGAGGTGAGAACAACCCCCCTGTTCCTGCAGACCATGGTTTAGCCACATGGGTGGTGATCTGCAGCCAGTGGGATGCATTTTGCTGGAGCACGAAGGAGACAGGGGCACCAGTGACACCCCAAGGTTCAGCAATACAAAGACTGTGATCTTTTTCCCAAGCATTTGACACAGCCCATGGGGAAAGTCTGTGACTCTGTATGACCAAGCAGTGGAAGTTCCCAGCTCCCTGCCCACTCTGCACCACTTGGCACCCTCTGCAGAAGCCGTGTGCCCAACCACCCCGACACCGGTGCTGCCGCTCAGACCGAAGGCACCCCGGTACCCCAGGGACGGACACAGTGATTATTATAGTTCTGGATTTTGTTTCAACAGCTGCAGGAAGGAGGTTGCTGGGGAGGTCTGGTTCCCCTGACCTCCCTTCCCTCTGGCAACCAGCAAATGGGAGGCACTGCATAGAGAAGAAGAAATTAGAGACGGAAATGATTTATTAAACCATCCTGCTCCTGGCTAATGCAAGGCTGCTTGCTCCGGGAAACCCACCCGGGCTCACCCGGCCCCTGACCAGGCTGCAGGGCTTCCACCACTAGGGAAAGGGTTTGGTGATGTAACAGGGGGAAATTGCCTTAAAATGGATTTACTAGCAGAAAGTACCATCCCAGGCAGCCTGGTATGGCTGGCACACAGCCATACAGCAAGTGTGGAGAAGGTGTCCCTGAATCCCTGCAGCCAATGGGACTGGCATGTCCCCAGTCTGCAGAACTGGGAGGCTGCTTTGAACATGGGCATCCCTGCAGCAGCAGCAGCGCTGGGTGCAAGTGAAGCTCTCTGCCCCCACGGGCTGGTGCTAAAATGAGAAGTGTGGAGCTGTCAAATGGAGCAGTTTAACGAGAAAACTGCTGATTCTTCCAGGCCCTGGTTCAACAAAAGCCCTTAAAACCCAGGCACTGCCATCACTGAAACTCTGTGGACTTTCAGTTCCTCTTTGTACGGGGGGTGGCAGCTGTGCCATCAGGATCTCCACATGCAGGGCATGCTCAGCCAGCCCCTGCAGCACCTCCTTGCCAGAACAGAACCACAATGCATCAGCTCACAGTCCCATTGCAGTCCCAGGAATGGCTCTGCGGGATGCAAGGCCGAGAGGACCCAGGGGAGAGGGAGCCAGGGAACACTAGGGATGAGCACTGCGTTGCTTACGATCTTTTAAAGTCCACGGACTGCTAAGGCTTGGGGAACGGACTGTTTCCTGGCCAAGGAAAGTGTCCTACCCAGCATACCAGGCACTGCCCTCACCAGCCCCCAAAACAGGTGAAAAAGGCGAAGGGCAGTGGACAAGCCTGCCGAGACAGAGAGCTGGGAAGCCAGCACTGGCTGCGGAGGAGCAAAGTACATCTGCCACACGCATTTCCCCAGTGCTGCCTTGAACTCTCTGACTCTGAGTCATGGCATGGTGAACCCTGAGTGTGGGTTCAGCCCAGACAGACACCCCTGAGGTGAGGACTGTAACCTCCAAGGGCCAGGCGGACAGCTCTGCCTCAGCTCTGGCCATCACCACCCACACGCATTCCCCTCACCAAAGGTTTTGGCAAGGGAGGGGAGCCCATACAAGGTTTGCAGTATTTCTATCACTCCACAGAAAATATTTTCTTTTGAGGGATGGGGGAAACCCTGCATCCCACAGATCCCAGCTTGCCCCCAGCTCTAAAGCCAGCCATGACCGTACAAGTCCTTGCCTCAACATCAGGCTGGTGCAGCTCCCAAGGGAAGCTTCAGCATCATCTCGTCTCTGCACTTGTTTGAACCAGGGGACTGTCAGCCCAAGCAGCCATTGCAGCTTTTCCCCAGAGAAACAGGGATTGCCTGGTAGAACATCAAATTAGGGCTTCTCCCAGTGCAGAGGCACATCTTGATCCAAGGATGCCCTCTAGTGATTGCCCTGCTCCAGCCACGGGCAGGTATCCGATGCCAGGAGAGAGAACCAGGGGGGCACAGCACCTTTGCACCCAACAGGACAGACAGGACAGGTCTCACCTGTCAGACCTCTCCTGCCAGGGAGAAATACTTAAAATAGGCAGCACTGTCACCATCAGGTTGTAGTGTGGAAAACTGACTCAGCTCCACACCCGTGGCTGCACTCATGTCTTCATCTGAAGAAGGTTCCCAGCCAAATGCTGATCTGAAGCCTGGCAAGCCCACGGTGATGGCTTATCTCCTGTGCTAGAGCCTGGCTGCATGGCAAGGTACCCCCCAAACCTCCCAGCCATGCTCAAGAATGCCACCTCACATCTCATCCGTGGGTACCTGCTGGGCTGGAGACCGTGGGGCTGTTCGCAGCACCCAGAGCCCTTGGGGAGAGATGGCCCTCCAGGGTCCTGAATGAAGCCATTTGGGAGCTCAGCTACAAATGGAACGCACAAATGGGACTCTCCCCCAGCAATCAACCACGGCAGCTGCCTCAGCCCATCCACGCCACATGCTCTACCCCAAACCTCAGACTGGCCTCAGAACCACACCGTAGCACAGCAGAGTGCTGGGAAAGCCACAGTCGGGAACCCACGAGCTGTCCGGTCCCCCCTCCTGGCGCGCGCTGCCCCCGCGGTGTGTGGGGAGGCTATTCTTAGTGCTGGACACAGACCAGCCCGGGATGATTCAAGGGACGGGACGCCATCCCAAAGTGTGACGGGCCAGGAAATGCTTCCCCAATTACCAGCTGATGTTTCCCTCTGATTCATGCCGCCCCGGCTAGAGGTGGACTGGCAGGTGGGTCAGCCCTTAGGGACACACCAAAGGCTGGCACCAAAACTGCTCAGCTCCCGGCAAGCTTAAACCTCTCTCCACCTACATCCCTGCCACCATGGGGATGAGGCACCCCACCTCCCGGAGGCAAACCAGGTACGTGCTCCCCACCTTGCACAAGAGGGTGAAGGGATGTGCCTGAGGCCAGGGAAGATGCCTGTGGCAGAGGGCAGGGCTGTCCCTCCCTCCCAGGTCAGACGCTCTAACCCCGGACCGCCCTTCCTCCTCCTCAGCATCGCTGCTGCTTGTTTTTGCTGCCGACACATCCTGTTTATTTAAAAAGGCCCCAGGACAAAATCGGACACGGGACGCGTGAGCGAGAAGGCCGACCCTGCCCCGAATCCAGGGGGACAGGCGGCCTCCTCCGCTCCCCGGGCTCCGGCCCGAGCCGCTCCGTAATTACAAACACCTGCTCACCTCTGCCCCAGCCTCCCGCCGGCCCCGGAGCAGCTGGAGCGGCGCAGAGCGCTGCCATTCCTCCCGGGAACAACCGCGTTCCCGGGGCCGGGGCCTGCCGCAGGCACACACGGTCCCCCAGCGCCCGGCTCCCACCCGGAGTGGCACAGCTCGCCCTGCCCGGCCAGCTCCATCGGCTGGCACGTCACCAGCAGTTCAGCTGCAATTAAGCTTCGTCTCCAAGCGCACTTTAGCGGGCACACCGGCTTCCAGGTAGGACCCGGACACCGAAATGCTGACCCTGCTGAGAACGAACCAACTTGCTGCGCGTCCTGGCAGCGGGACTCGCTGGGAGAAAAAGCCCCGGCGAGGAAGAGGTGCAGCTCCTCCCACTCTGTTTACTTCCTCTGCCGAGGCACTGCCTGCTTCTGGAAGCAGGACGGGAGGGCAGGAGGAGGTGGGGGAAGCAACTCCCCACCTTCGCCCTCCCCAGCCCCGACGGAGACGCCTTCGCCTTGGCACGGAGACGGTGGAACCAGCCAGAAACCCCTTCCCAGCGGGCAGCGTGTCCCTCGCCCCCGAAGTGCCCCGCTCACCGCCAGCTCCGGACCCGCATCTCCCCCAAATCACTCACCTCCCCGCTCCCCGGCTCCCGCGAGCGGCCGGTACCCGACAGCCCCATCGCCGGCTCCCGGCCCCTGCTCACCGCCCAGCCATCCGGGCGCGCTGTGCCTTACGTTCTCCGGCTCTGAAGGCTTCCTGACGATTTGCATAGTTAAGCCGTAAACTAACCACAACATTCCTCTTATGATTTTGCAATCTGCTGGAATAACGTGGTCGCTCTAAGTCGAGTCGATGAATCATCATCTATAAACCACAGCTCTCGTCACCGGGGCTCTCAGTGCTGGCTGCAGCCAGAGTGATTAATCCGCCAGGATGCCAAGCTTAACCTACAGTGCAGGGCTATTTATTTTCCAAACTTGCAAGCCTCCAGAAAAAGACTGCTGTCTTCCCAATTCCCTTTGTGGCAAGATGCGTCAGGCTGTGGCAGAGGACCAGGGACGGGGGACCTCCCTGTTACCCCACAGGACGTGCCAGTATTAACCATTGGACCGTGCACCTTGCAACTGAGGCACTCATGCCCTTCCCTGGTCCCCTCTCACTCCCTGTGCCACAGCACCCTCAAAACATGCACCAAAACACCACTTTTGCCAGCAGGGATGAGCTCATCTCTAGGAGTCCAGTTCCTGCACCAGAACAAACAGCTCCTGCCAACCCTGACCACACTGCTTGCTGCAGGACACACTGGTGGGGAACCAGGTCACTGTGATGGCACTGTGAGAGAGCCTGTCCTGAGCCCAAGTGCCCCTGGGGGCGGCATCTCCTTCTCTCCCATGCCAAGTTTCAAGTCTAGATTGGCTACACAGGGGACACCATTTGGCTGCCCCCAAGTGCATCGTATCCCCTTCCATCACTACAGTGCCCTGGGCTCTTA